TCCCATGCACGCCTGCTTGTGGCCCAACTGACTGCTGCTGCTGCCAGATTCTGCTTCGATTGATGCACCCCCGTTAGTGCCACACGCACTCATTGTATGGCAGCTACCTACCACAAGCACCATCATTAAGGCCACACTAAATTGATACTCGTTAATAGAGCACTCACTACTTGGTGGTGTCATCATGTCCCATGCCCACGTATCTCGCCTGCATGTGCTCCAGCTGGCTGCTGATGTTGAAGCAATCGCTCGCTTGGTGAGGGCGAGGGGAGAGGGGTGAGAGCAAGGGCAGGGGAAGAGACAGTGGGTAAAGGGGCTGCATGTACTCCAGCTGGCTGCATGTGCTCCAGCTGGATGCTCATGTTGAAGCGGTCGCTCGCCTGATAATGACCGCTGAAGGGGAAAGGAGGGGGGAAACGGGGAAAGTGAGGAGAAATGCGGGTGGCCAAGGCTGCACGTGCTCCAGCTGGCTGCTCATGTTGAAGCGATCGCTCGCCTGGTGAGGGGCGACGAGTGAGGGGTGAGGGGCGACGATTGAGGGGTGAGGGGCGACGATTGAGGGGTGAGGGACGAGGGGTGAGAAGAAAGAGGCGGAAGGGAGGGGAAGTAAGCAGGGCGAGGCTGCATGTGCTCCAACTGGCTGCTCATGTTGAACCGATCGCTTGCCTGGTGAGGGGGCAAAGCGAGGGTGAGGGGCGGAGGGTGAGGGGCGGAGGGTGAGGGGCGGAGGGTGAGGCAAAATGGTGAAATCATGCACTGGGAAAGAGAGGCGTTGGGTGGGTAGGTCCGTGTAGCGCCAACGCGCAGTGGGTGTATTCTCTGCGCCTCAAAAGCACCCTCGTTTCGACCCAGCGCATAGCGAGGCGTTCCAACCTGCATGTGTTCCAGTTTGCTGCTCATGTTAAAGCGGTCGCTCGCCTGGTGAGGGCCCAGGGCAACAGGCGGGGTGAGGGGAAGAGCGGAAAACAGGGAGACTTGCGTTAGGCGAGGCTCCATGCGCTGCAGCTGGCTGCTCATGCTGAACCAGTCGCTTGCCTGATGAGGAGACCAGGGGTGAGGGGCAGGGGTGAGGGCAAAAGGGGAAGACGGGGCAAGGGGCGGTGGGTAAAGCTGCAGGTGGTTCGCCTAATTGCTGATGCTCAGCAGATGAGGTGCCTGACACACGATGGGCGGAGGGAGGAGTGTGGGGAGAGGGAGGAGGGATGCGGGGAAAGGGCGGATAGATGGGCGTGGGGCGAGGAGAAAGAGCGGAGGGTGCAGGGCGAGGGGAAAGAGCGGAGGGTGCGGGGTAAGCGACAGGCGGAAACCGGGGAAAGAGGCAGCTGCCAGAGCTCCGATTGGCTGATTATGTTACCGGTCGCTCGCCTGTTTTGAGACGTCTCAAAACACTCCAACTATCCCATGGAAAGAGGAGCCCCCATTGGCTGATTATGTTACCTGTCGCTCGCCTGTTGATGGGCAAGGGGCGAGGGGCGAAGGGTGCGTGGAAAAGGTGAAGGGGCGAGGGTGTGCGGGGGGAGGCCGCGGACTCAAAGGATGCGCGAGAGGGGCGAATACGGGCTGCTGTCCTGGGAGGCGAGGCAGGGAGACTTTTTAGTCGACTCAGAAGTCGCCTTTTGGGGGGGGAGGGCGGGGAGTCAAGGGATGCGGGAGAAGCGGCGAACACGGGCTGCTGTCCTGGGAGGCGAGGCAGGGAGACTTTTTAGTTGACTCAAAAGTCGCCTTTTGGGGGGGGGGGGGGGGGGGGGGGGGGGGGGCGGGGAGTCAAGGGATGCGGGAGAAGCGGCGAACACGGGCTGCTGTCCTGGGAGGCGAGGCAGGGAGACTTTTTAGTCGACTCAGAAGTCGCCTTTTGGGGGGGGGGTGGGGAGTCAAGGGATGCGGGAGAAGCGGCAAACACGGGCTGCTGTCCTGGGAGGCGAGGCAGGGAGAATTTTTAGTCGACTCAGAAGTCGCCTTTTGGGGGGGGGGGGCGGGGAGTCAAGGGATGCGGGAGAAGCGGCGAACACGGGCTGCTGTCCCGGGAGGCGAGGCAGGGAGACTTTTTAGTCGACTCAGAAGTCGCCTTTTGGGGGGGGGGGGGGGGAGTCAAGGGATGCGGGAGAAGCGGCGAACACGGGCTGCTGTCCTGGGAGGCGAGGCAGGGAGACTTTTTAGTCGACTCAGAAGTCGCCTTTTGGGGGGGGGGGGGGGGGGGGGGGGGGGGGGGGGGGGCGGGGAGTCAAGGGATGCGGGAGAAGCGGCGAACACGGGCTGCTGTCCTGGGAGGCGAGGCAGGGAGACTTTTTAGTCGACTCAGAAGTCGCCTTTCGGGGGGGGAGGGCGGGGAGTCAAGGGATGCGGGAGAAGCGGCGAACACGGGCTGCTGTCCTGGGAGGCGAGGCAGGGAGACCTTTTAGTCGCCTCAGAAGTCGCCTTTTGGGGGGGGGAGGGCGGGGCGTCAAGGGATGCGGGAGAAGCGGCGAACACGGGCTGCTGTCCTGGGAGGCGAGGCAGGGAGACTTTTTAGTCGCCTCAGAAGTCGCCTTTTGGGGGGGGAGGGGGGGGGGTCAGGGGATGCGGAAGAAGCGGCGAACACGGGCTGCTGTCCTGGGAGGCGAGGCAGGGAGACTTTTTAGTCGACTCAGAAGTCGCCTTTGGGGGGGGGGGGGGGGTCAGGGGATGCGGGAGAAGCGGCGAACACGGGCTGCTGTCCTGGGAGGCGAGGCAGGGAGACTTTTTAGTCGACTCAGAAGTCGCCTTTTTGGGGGGGGAGGGTCAAGGGATGCGGGAGAAGCGGCGAACACGGGCTGCTGTCCTGGGAGGCGAGGCAGGGAGACTTTTTAGTCGACTCAGAAGTCGCCTTTGGGGGGGGGGAGTCAAGGGATGCGGGAGAAGCGGCGAACACGGGCTGCTGTCCTGGAAGGCGAGGCAGGGAGACTTTTAGTCGACTCAGAAGTCGCCTTTTGGGGAGGGAGGGCGGGGAGTCAAGGGATGCAGGAGAAGCGGCGAACACGGGCTGTTGTCCTGGGAGGCGAGGACGGGAGACTTTTTAGTCGACTCAGAAGTCGCCTTTTGGGGGGGGAGGGCGGGGAGTCAAGGGATGCGGGAGAAGCGGCGAACACGGGCTGCTGTCCTGGGAGGCGAGGCAGGGAGACTTTTTAGTCGACTCAGAAGTCGCCTCTTGGAGGGGGGGGGGGGGCAGGGAGTCAAGGGATGCGGGAGAAGCGGCGAACACGGGCTGCTGTCCTGGGAGGCGAGGCAGGAAGACTTTTTAGTCGACTCAGAAGTCGCCTTTTGGGGGGGGAGGGCGGGGAGTCAAGGGATGCGGGAGAAGCGGCAAAGAAGTGATGCTGTCATGGGTGGCGAGACAGGGAGACTTTTTTGTCGACTCAAAAGTCGCCCTTTGGGGGGGGAGGGTGGGGACTCAAGGGATGCGGGTCCTGGGAGGCGAGGCAGGGAGACTTTTTAGTCGACTCATAAGTCGCCCTTTGGGGGGGGAGGGCGGGGACTCAAGGGATGCGAGAGAAGCGGCAAACACGGGCTGTTGTCCTGAGAGGCGAGGCAGGGAGCTTGGGCGCTTGATACGTGTGACTATAACGAGAGGCGCGTATGAAAGCACGTCGCATGTGATTGAGCCGATGCGAAGCGCGTGAGATGCGGTGCGGCGGGACTAAGGAACGAACCATGACAAATGAATGGAGGGATTGCGCGCGGCTGACGACTGACGGCTGAAGCACCGAGTGGGCTTACAACCCTCGGTGGAGGCTTAGGCGGGAATCGACGAGAGCAGCAGAGCGCGTCATTTCAAAATTCGAGATCGTCGCATGTTGTTCGCACAATCGCTGAAACTCACAATAAGAGTTCATTACCAGCCTCGGCGTATTGTCACTTAGGAGCGTGTGTTTCTGTAGTGGTTTCTAATGAATTCGAAATGTCATAGCAAATTATGTACTCTAAAGGGTACATTCCATTGTTAGATCGATCTTCAAACCTGCGACGCGGGAACCCTTTTCAAACCTGTTCCCGCAAAATTTTTTGGAAATGTTTCTGCCAGCACCTGTCTCAGTCTAATAACATGTCAGAATCCCAACCACTAATCACTGGGATAAAAGGGCTTGTTTGTGTAGCGGGTGAGTGCGCCCATAACCCCCCAGGCCGACGTGCCTGTAACCCTTCCCTAGGATCAATCGGGGATCTCCAGTGGACCTTTGACACCCCCCCCGCACTGGGATGCCCGAGGTGCACACACCGGGATTTGAACCCATGTAAGAATCCCAACCTTTGCTCTGATACCATGTTAGAATCCCAGCCACTAACCACTGGAATAAAAGGGCTTGTTTGTGTAGCGAGTGAGTGCGCCCATAGCCCTCCATGCCGACGTGTCTGTAACCCTTAGGATGAATCGGTGATCTCCAGTGGACCTCTGACACAACCGTCTTCGCCGCTTTGGTTCATCTTGACTCTTGTTCTTAATCCTCGGTAGTGCTTGCCGCTATTACGTACAGGAATGCCGAACCTCTTATCGTAACAGCTCTGAACTCCGTTTACTGGTGATGAGCTAAGAACAATAAAGCCAGTGAACAGTGTTGTACTTGGTGAAGTCAGATGCGTACCGTAATAAGGAATTTGAAAATGTCCGTACAGATCTTCATATTTACGAACATGTTGATGATTGTAATAACGCGTCTTCGCAGTAATTCCCCACCAAGACCAGGTGTTCAGGGTGTTCGAATCGCGTGGTAAACGCGACTCGTTCTGACACAAACCTTTTGAGATTGCAAGTCGCGTGTGAAAACTTGGATGTGGGCTTGAGGGGAAAACCTCCACAACACACCACAAGCACGGACTGCCGTGCCCATCTGCTTCATTCGACTCTTCCCCTCCCATCCCATCACCTCTCCCCATGCTGTCTCTGCACAAAATTCCTTGTCTTGCTTCCTACATCCTAGTCCCTAGGCATACCTTCCTTCGTCTGCAGCAGCCCCACATCGCGCGGAAGCGTTCTTTACGCATAAGCCATGGACACGACGACCGTACAGCCTGATGCCCGCGTGACAGAAGAGCCGCGAGATGTGGAACCAATGAAAGGCGCGCTCCAGCCGGGCGAGGATATCATCAACCGTCTGCCCGACGACGTGCTCTCAGCAATTATCGATCGCGCCTCTTCCAGAAATGTGATGCACCACGCGCTCGTGTGCCGCCGGTGGCTGCGCCTGGCGCAGCACTTGCAGCAGGCCGTCCACGTCAGCGTGGAGCGCAACCTCCACGTGGGCGAGCTGCTGCGCGGGTTGTCGAGACTCCCCAACGTGACCTCGCTCAAGCTAGCCTACAGGAGTGTAGATTTTCTCGACGACGAGTTCCTGACGGCGCTGCCCTCCGCCTGCCCGCAGCTCTCCCGCATGCGCCTGGACGAGCCGCGGTACACCGGAGTGCCGCACTTCCGCATCACGCCCCCGTGCCTCGGCCGCTTCTTCCTCGGCGCTTCGCGCCTCGAGGAGCTTACTCTCGACCACAGCCTCGGCAACATGACAAAGCTTCCCTCCTCGCTCGCATCGCTCTCGTCGCTTCGCGTGCTCAACCTCAGCTTGGCTCGCCTTATCGTTCTTCCCGACGGGTTCGGCGCGCTGCCCGCACTGAAGGAGCTCCGCGTCAGCTGCCCCGAGCTGCGGAGCCTCCCCGCGTCTGTCACGCAGCTCACGCGGGTGTCCCGCCTCTGCGTGGCAGACTGCCGCTCGATGCGCCAGCTGCCCGCGCAGCTCAGCGCGCTGAGCGCGCTGACGGTGCTGGAAATACACGGGTGGTACCGCCTGGAGGGCATTCCGGAGAGCATCGGCGCGCTCAAGGAGCTGCGCCACCTGCACCTGCGCAACATCAGCTGCGCGCTGCCCGACGTGGGGGAGGAGTGGCGGAAGCTGGAAGAGTTGCGCCTGGAGAACGTCTGCCGGGGGTGGGGCCGCTTTCCGCCCATCTCCCTCGAGTCCCTCACGCTCCTCACCATCAGCCACTGCCGCAGCCTCCGCGCGCTCCCCGACGACATCGGCGCGGCGCCAGCCCTCCGCGAGGTCGAGATCGTCGACACGCCGATTGCCGAGCTGCCTGCGTCCATCGGGATGCTGACGTCACTGGAGCGGCTGGTGCTGGCGCCATGCAAGTCGATGAGAGCGCTGCCGCCCACGCTGCTGGCGCTGCCGCGACTGGCGCACGTGGTGCTGAAGAACGTGTCGTGCCTTGCTTCGCTGATGCGGGGCGGCGCGCGCGCGGAGGCGGATGGACATCGCCAGCCAGTCGGGCGCCTCGCACCGCTGCAGTTTTTCTCCCTTGAATGTTGTTACCTCTTCACCCATTTTTCCCCCGCCCTCCCCGCGCTCGCGCAATCGTTGCGCGCGCTCTCGCTCGTCGACCTGCCCGCGCTCTACTCCTTGCCCGCCGAAGTCTTCCGCCTCACCGCGCTCACCACCCTCTCGCTCCTCCGCCTGCGTCACGTCAAGTGCCTTCCCCCTTCTCTCTCCGCCCTCTCCGCCCTCCGCGCGCTCACAATCACCTCCGCGCCCGAGCTCGCGACGCTGCCCGAATCCATGGGCCAGCTGGCAGCGCTCGAGTCGCTGGAGCTCGACGACTGCCCCGCGCTGCGGAGCCTGCCCGCGTCGCTGGGCCGTCAGACGGCGCTCGGCGCTGCGGAGTCTGCTGCCGTGTCCGCCGCCGCCCCCATGAGCGGGCTCAGCGCGCTGACGCACCTCAGCGTCACCAGGTGCGGTGCGCTCACCGCGCTGCCGGACTCCATTGGCCAGCTGGGCCGATTAAGAACGCTGACTATAGCGGGCGCGTCGGTCGCGTCCCTCCCGTCGACCACTCTAAGCGGGCTGACTCACCTGGAAGCGCTACGCATCTTCGACTGCCCCCTCCTCGCCGCGCTCCCCGCGTCCCTCTGCGCCCTCCCCCGCCTCCACACGCTCTCCCTCGCCAAGTGCCCCGCCCTCCGCGCCCTCCCCGACGCCATAGGCCAGCTGCGCGCTCTCAGGCGCCTCTCCCTCAAGGACTGCGCCGCGCTCGCCCACCTCCCCGCGTCCCTCCCGCGCCTCCCCGCGCTCGAGTCGCTCGACATCGCATGCTGCGCGCTATTCACGCACCTCCCCGACGACTTCCGCCCGCTGCCTTGCCTTGCGCGCCTCTCCGTCTGCAACTGCCGCGCCTTCTCCCGCCTCCCCGCCTCGCTCTCCCGCCTGCCCGCCCTCCGCGTGCTCAAGCTCTCGTCCTGCGCGTCTCTCTCCGCGCTCCCCTCCGACCTCGCGGCCCTCCCCGCGCTGCACTCGCTGCTGCTGGACGGGTGCTCCGCGCTGGCGGAGCTGCCCGCGGGACTGGCGCGCGCGCGGGGGCTGCGCCACGTGGACGTGCGCGGATGCGGGGCGGTGGGTGAAGGCACGGAGATGGACGTGTGCGGGCGGCGCGTCCACGTGAAGCGGGATCGACGCGAAGGGGGCGAAGGGGGGTCGTACATGATGGGGACGATGCCTACAGGCACTCAAGTGCAGCGCGGGGGGAGGGGGGGCGAGGGGGGAGAGGGCGGGGAGACAGAGGGACCATCCGGGGGAGGCGGGGAAGTGGAAGGAGGTGAGGAGGGGGCAGAAAGGGGAGGTGCGGTGAGAGGCAGGTTGGAGGGAGCTGTAGCAGCCGAGGAGGGTGAAGGGGAATGCGGGATGGATGCAGTGGAGAGCAGAGGTAGGGAGGATGGCGGGCAATCGCGACGGGATCGAGAGCAGGAGAGGGAGGAGGAAGGGGAAGGTGTGGGGGAGGAGTTGTGGGGGCGGACGATTAGGTGGGAGAGGGTGAGATGAGGAAACAAGGGGAAACAAGGGAGGAGAGGAGGGACGCGAGGAGGGAGAAAAGAGGGAGGGAAGGGCGATGGGAATGGGGGAGCTGGCGATGGGACCGAGGGAGCTGACGATAGGAACCAGGTTGGGGAAGAGGATGAGGGAGAGGCTGGGGAAGAGGTGAAGTGGTGAGTGGAGGAGGGAGGGAGTGAGGTGAGGGAGGGAGGGTGAGCAGCAAGGGAAGAGAAGGTCAGGGCGGACAGGCCGAGATGATTAGGATGGGGAGGGATGCTGCTTGCGTGGAAGAGGGGTTTGGGTGAGAGGGTAGCTGCTCTTTCTGGTGTGGGCAGCTGCTCTTTCTGGTGTGGGCAGCTGCTCTTTCTGGTGTGGGCAGCTGCTCTTTCTGGTGTGGGCAGCTGCTCTTTCTGGTGTGGGCAGCTGTGCTTTCTGGTGTGCACGTGCCTGTGGTACTTGTTTGTCCCTGTCAGTACTTACCACCCATGAAAATGGTGCTTCTCTATGGTAGATTGCTTGTTGGTGAATTGGACATTGCCTACCAGTGTAGATGATTCAGTAGGTAGTGATGCATTGCACTATGTGCCAACATACTCAAGTAGTCTGTAAAGCTTGTGATTAACTGCTAGGTGATAAACCACTGCTTAGATCCCAAAGACTGAGCGGTCTGGTCTGGTCTGGTCTGGTCTGGTCTGGTCTGGTCTGGTCTGGCCTGCTTGGCACTGTGCCTGCGCGGGTGCGACAGGTGGTTGGCTCTTGCACCCACCAGCACACCATGTGACGCAAGTGGAGGCAGTGACACAACACACACTGCCGTGCAGGGTGGCACACAACACACACTGCCGTGCAGGGTGGCACACAACACACACTGCCGTGCAGGGTGGCACACAACACACACAGTGCCGTGCCGTGCTGGGTGGCACACAACACACACAGTGCCGTGCCGTGCTGGGTGGCACACAACACACACAGTGCCGTGCCGTGCTGGGTGGCACACAACACACACAGTGCCGTGCCGTGCTGGGTGGCACACAACACACACAGTGCCGTGCCGTGCTGGGTGGCACACACTGCTTCAGCTGCGCCCTCCACATCACGACAGCTGCAAATCTGGCGCCCCACCCCATCCTCCCATGTACTTCCATACACCCGCTCCTCTGCTCCCTTCCCATGCTCCCCTGCTCAAAATCTCCCCTCCCCTCCTCCCATGCTCTCCTGTGTCTCCCTTCCCTGCTCCCATGCTCCCATGCTCCCCTGCTCCCCTGCTCCCATGCTCCCCTGCTCCCCTGCTCCTATGCTCCCCTGCTCCCCTGCTCCCCTGCTCCCCTGCTCCCATGCTCCCCTGCTCCTATGCTCTCCTGCTTCCCTCCCGCGCCCCCCTGGTCCTATGCTCTCGAGCAGCACACAACAATATGCAAGTTGTACATACAAATGGCGAGTACCGTGCAAGTTATACAAAATATGCACCATAGAGGTAAAAACTATGCCTTGCAAAACGGTTTAATCTTTCCCCCAATCCATACTACAGACAGTGCCAATACGGTACTGTATCTCGCGCACATCGCTACAGGAATCAACCAACCTACTGCAGCACGAGTGCAAGGAGCACTAATGCAGTGGCAGTCCCCTCACCTCACCTCACTCCTCATCGCGGTCTGGTGGCAAGCCACATGGCAGCAGCATGCGCTGTAGAGGGGTGGAGGGGTGAATGGGGGCAGGGAAGGGAATTGGGGAGTGAGGGAAGAGACTGAAGCAAGTGGAAAACAGGTCTCTCCATGGGATTGTTCTGTATTTTTTTAGGCTTATGAAATGGCAGCGTCCCTCCCTTTAACCAGCCGGTCAAAAGTCAAGGACAAAATGCATGTCCATGCATGAAACGTTTACCAACAGCATACGAAAGTTGGCACCTTCACTGATAACACACGCCATCATGCTTCTCACATGCTACACCACATGCTACAGTACCTGCAACAGTACATGCTACAGTACCTGCTACAGTACATGCTACACCACCTGCTACAGTATATGCTACGCCACCTGCTACAGCCTCCCCCCGTTTCACCTGAATGAAGTTGTAGCACTCTCATGCCACCATGCTACTGTGTCAACTTCACACACCTGCTACAGCCCCCTTTCCCCTGCTACAGCCCCCTTTCCCCTGCTACAGCCCCCTTTCCCCTGCTACAGCCCCCTTTCCCCTGCTACAGCCCCCTTTCCCAACCACCTGCATGAAGTTGATCACCCCCGCTCCTCCCCATCACCCACCTCCTCCCCCCCCTCCCACCCCAACCTCTCCCCCCAATCACCTGCTACAGCCCCCTCCCCCCGTTCACCTGCATGAAGTTGTATCGCTCACATGCCACCATGCCATCACCCAATCACCTGCATGAAGTTGTATCGCTCACATGCCACCATGCCATCACCCAATCACCTGCATGAAGTTGTATCGCTCACATGCCACCATGCCATCACCCAATCACCTGCATGAAGTTGTATCGCTCACATGCCACCATGCCATCACCCAATCACCTGCATGAAGTTGTATCGCTCACATGCCACCATGCCATCACCCAATCACCTGCATGAAGTTGTATCGCTCGCGGCCGATGCTCTCATTCTCCGCCACGGCAAAGAAGGCCAGCAGCGGGTGATGGCCCACGTAGGAGGCGTAGCTGTCCCGGTGGATGTTCACTGCCCACTCGCTGGGGAGAGGAGAAAAAAGGAGAAAGGGTTGGGAAGGGAGAGGAGAAGGTTGAGGGACAGGTACAGGCAGGAGTGAGATAAAAATTAAGCTAGCAGCGGGTGGTGAGACGCCACTCCCCGCTCCCCACTCCCCACTCCCCGCTCTCTGCTCTCTGTTCCCCACTCCCCGCTCTCTGCTCGTGTAGAAACCACTGCTGCTGCCCCTTACTACTGTAGACCCTGCCTCGATAAGAGCACTGCCTCGATAAGAACCCTGCCTCGTTAAAAGCTCTGTCTTGATATAATCACATGCGCTATGTTGGCACTCGTTAGCAGCGCACTCACTACTTGGTGGTATCAGCATGTCCCGTGCCCACGTATCTCGCCTGCATGTGCTCCAGCTGGCTGCTGATGTTGAACCGGTCGCTCGCCTGGTGAGGGACGAGGGCGGGGTGAGGGGCGAGAAGAAAGAGAGGCGGGACATGGGGAATGGGAGAAAGAATGCAGGTGGGCTAGGTTGCAGGTGGGCTAGGTTGCAGGTGGGCTAGGTTGCAGGTGGGCTAGGTTGCAGGTGGGCTAGGTTGCAGGTGGGCTAGGTTGCATGTGGGCTAGGTTGCATGTGCTGCAGCTGGCTGCTGCTGTTGAACTGATCGCTCGCCTTGTGAGAAACCGGTGAGCGGCGAGGGGAACAGGTGGAGGGGCGAGGGGAGGGGCGGAGGTTGAGGGGAAGGGCGAAGGGTGAGGGGAATGGGCGGAAAACGGGGAAAGAATCCGTCGGCAAGGCAGCTTAGTCCAGCAGTGGAGCAGCAGCTTCGTCCTCCAACTCCTCCCCGCAGCAGCAGTGAGCAGTGGTGCTTGCCGATTGGCTGCTGGGTGCTGGCTGCTGATGACTCAGCCAGTGGACGATGGGGACACACGATGGACGACGGGGAAGGGCGGAGGGGAGGGGGGAAGGGGGAGGGGAGAAGGGCAAGGGGGGAGGGAAGAAGGGGAAGGGGGGAGGGGAGTAGGGGAACGGGCGGAGGGGAGAGGGGAAGGGGGGGAGGGGAGAAGGGGAAGAGCGGAGGGATGAAGGGGAAGGGCGGAGGGGCGACGGGGAACGGGCGGATGGAAGAGGGGAACGGGCGGAGGGGAGAGGGAAACGGGCGGAGGGGAGAGGGAAACGGGGGAACGGGCGGAAGGGACGAAGGGGGAACGGGTGGAGGGGAGGGGGGAACAGGCGGAGGAATGAAGGAGGACGGGAGGAGCGGAGAGGGAAACGGGTGGAGGGGAGATGGGAACGGGCGGAAGGGAGAGGGGAAGGGGCGGACGGGAGAGGGGAAGGGGCGGAGGGGAGAAAGGAACGGGCGGAGGGGAGAGGGGAACGGGTGGAGGGGAAGGGGAACGGGCGGAGGGGAAGGGGCGGAGGCCGGAAGAATTGAGGGGTAAGGGGAAAGGGCGGAAATTTGAGGAATGTGTGAGAGGCGCAAATTAGTTAAAAGGGGGTAACTAGAGCAGCCTTCTACGGCGAGGCAGAGAGCATGAGCGGAAACTTGCGTGACTGTGAGAAGCGTGACCAGGGCAAGCGACACGTAAGAAGGTACGCCGCTTGTGATTGAGCCGATTGGAAGCGCGTGGAATGCGGCGCGCGACGGACAAGGAACGAACCATGGGGAGTGAAGGAGTTGCGCGCGGCTGACGGGCTAACGGTTGACGGGCTGACGGTTGCCGGACTGACGGCACGACTCGGTCGTTTATAGACGGTGATTGCGAAAACGACGCTCAGTGAAGGCCTAGCCAAGATTCAACGAGATCAGGCGAAAACCAGCCGTGCAAACGTGTCGATAGGAGTTTGAATGTGAGAAAGGGCGAGGTCAGCGGGTTTGATAACCGCTCTGCACCGTCTGTAATCCTTTTGCACCGCGGCGGATCAACTGAACGATTGTGAGTGCTGTTGCGACGAATTTAAAAAAACTGGTCGAACTTGAGCTGGTTACCAGGCTTCGCACGCTACCAGGTCAATCAATGTTCGAACCACACAGTCAGTCGACTGCGTGTTCGAGCGTGCATACGAAATTATAATTTTTAAACACACATGTAGTGTTTTTTAAAATTGTGTATTGTGAAAGCGAAGCTGCTTGTACTGCACAATTGGCATCGTCGAAGCGCGCTAAACGCCCTTCTCCAACTACAAAAACCGTGGGTTGGAGCTCATTTCCCTCCACCCACGTTTCTCAATTTTCAAACGGCTCACTCAACATTCCCACCACCCACCCCAGAGTAAACCGCCTTGCTAATGCCACTTGGATAGGGTATATCCTAGCTAGCGTTATTAGTCCGCACTAGCTTGTGTCGAATGATGATACAAATGTTGTAATACGCCATTTGTAATGAGAACGATGCCAATTGATAAGAAAGAAAGCAAGCTTTCTCAATCTGTGCTTTCACACAACGAACATTGGTGACTCTTGCCTGGTCGCCGGAACTCTCAACGTCTTCGCCAGATGGCAGCTGCAAAGCGTTTTAAGGCGTCCTTGGTTATCGCCCGTGTTTGTGGATTGGTTCATTGACCCAGACCCGCCAGACAGGCAGTTTTCACTATCAACAACATTGATATTAACAAGGCTTATCTACCTGGATTTCATCTATGGACTTATTCTCGGGTCCTCAAGGGAGGCAACGCAACATCATAAAAGCGGCCACAAGTTTCTTCGCAGATTTATATCAGTGCTCAGCAGAGGTTTCTTATCAAGCTGTCTGCTCAGCCTGTTCCTCTGTTTTCATCATTGCACTATGGCAAATGGCCGTCGCACTGGTCGTGGGGGAGGGAAGACAATGGGTGTTATTCAGGCTCCGGGTGACTCTACTCCTCCGCCGAGTACTGAGCATTCTCCTGAGAAGAGTCCGCTGGTCTCCGCGCAAGCGTCGCCAGCGGCTTCTCCGAAAGGCTCTATTGAGGGCGATGTTGCGAAGACCTCTTTGCAGGAGCGCTTATCTGCACTTAAGGTCAACGGGCTGAAGGACAAAGCGGTGGAGAGTGATGTCGTTCTGCCTTCGCAGCCCGGCATGGTGTCGGCAGAAGGCTCGGATCCGGCTCCAGCGGCTCCAGTGGTGTCTGCAAAAGGCAAGCAGGAGGCTGCGGAGGAAGAATGGTGGGACAGTGATGATGAGGATGACTTTGACCCTGTCGCGATTAACGCTCTATCGGCCCAGATCAGTTTCTCGATTACGCTGCTGGTCCCTATCGAGTGGGAAGCGGAGGTTCCTAAGCTGAAAGCCACGGTTGTTGCTCACCTCGATTTCTGGAAGGCGTCGCTGACGGCAGATGCGCAGACAACAACGCAGTATCAGGTTCTGTTGCCTGCGTTTTTGTCGAAGAAGTATCATCGGCTACAGGTCACTTTTGAGCACGCGCGTGATGCGGAGTTTGTCTGGATGCGGACGATTGAACATGATCTGGGGAAGGGTGCTACTCTCAAGCTCGACTGGCAGCACCCTGAGAACGCGGCCTACAAGCAGGAGCGCAGGCTGAATCCAGGAGCGGTTGAGGTGGTCTTGAAATCGGTACCTGCCGGCGTCTCTCCGGATCTGATTCGCAAGATGCTGACAGAGGTCGTTCTGCTTAAGAAAGGGAAAGCGGCTTTTAACCGTGGTGTTGATTTTCACAGGGTGCAGGATCCGATCACTGGAATGGACACGGACAAGGTGCGCAGCTTGGTGATTGAACATGAGGATGATGACTCACCATGGCGTCATGCTGTCACAGATCTGTCGAACCCGGGGAGGAAGCTGTTGGTTCAGTACCCCGCGCTTACCTGTGAGTTCTGCAAGGGTCACCACATGACGCAGTATCATAATGCTTATGTTACCGAGCGTCAAGCCAACATCGGCAAATGGACCCTGACGGTCAGGAAGGTCCATGAGATCAATGGTATCTGCACTGAACAGTTTTCCGCATCGCTCTTACCGTTATGTTCTTTTTCGAGCTCTCACACTGACGGTTTCGCTCGCTCCTCCCCCCGCAGCTGCATCGCTCAAAGTCACAGCGCAACTGAAGGATGTTCTCAAGGACCCCGCGATAGTTCTCACCTCCACAGGGGGGTCGCGGGAGGATTGGGTGTGCGTGATTGCCGCCTGCGACAAGGCCCAGGGCACCAGTTTCGAGCAGGCCTCGAACCACGTTGCGTCGCTGCGCCATCAGACCAACCTATTAAAGCCGGGAACTGCTACGCGCGCCAGCAAAGGAGCCATCAACCTTGCCGCACTCCGAAAGGAGTTCGCGAAGTGATCTGCCAGGGAAGGGGGACACTCGGGAGAAGGAGCACTTGCTGTTACGCAATCAGTCCTCGTTGTAGGTGCCGCTGTGCCTGTGTTACAGCTGTGTGGAGTGGTGTCGCGGGAGTTAGAGGTTCATGGAGTAGAAGGTCCAGTTGTTGTACCCAAGCCCGTGGATGCAAAGGGGCCTCTCACCTGTTGTTTAATGGATAAGAGGAACGCGATCACTTTCTGCGAGCTCAACATCAACGGGCTCGGGAGTGCAGGGAAGCAGATCAAGTGTAGAAACTGGTTGCGAGGGAAAACGGATATTGCAGTTCTCACAGACACAAGAGTTAAGGCGGACCATAACTTCTGGACTCAACTCAAACCAGCGGCAGTTGCCGCCGTAGGCCCAGCGGACACAGCAGGTGGTGTGAGCTGGAATTGCTTTTCATAGTTGTGTACCTGCCGGCGCAGCCAGAAAACAGAGCGCCTTTTTACAGAGACTGTCTGGGGCCGTTTCTGAGCGGCCTTCCGGACCTGAAGAACGTTCTGGTGATGGGGGATTTCAACGTTGTAGAGGATCCATAGATGACAAGTCCACTGGCTTGGGTTCTGCGGCGGAAAATCGGCGGCTGATGAGTTTTTGGGCACGCACTCCTCTCACGGACACTTTCCGCTATGTGCATCCTGGGAAAAGGGAGTACACTTTCCACGCAAAAGGTCGAGGGGTGAGCACCAGAATCGACCGCGCGCTGCTCTTGCAGCCTCTGCTGTGCAAACTAGTGGACGCTCGTCATAAAGCAATAACGAACAAGATGACTGATCATTGGAATGCGGTGATGGTTGCTCTGGAGTCTTCAACGGCTGGGAATAAAGGGCGCGGGATCTGGAGACTGAGGGCTGCGCAGGCAAAGAGAAAGGGCGTCAAGGAGAGGGTGAAGCAGGTGCTCCGTGACACCGGTGACGACTTGGCAGAAGTACTCCCGAGGCTGTCGTCCTGTCTGAGGGCTTACTCGCGGGAAGAAAGGAAGCGGGTTAAAGCGACTAAGGCACATCTGGAACGGGAGGTGGAGGTGTTCCGCAGCAGACTGTCACGGAAGCCGAGGTGTCAGCGCACAGGGGCGATTCTGCTCAAGAAGGAAGAGCTGCTGAACGCGTTTGAGAAGTACCACATGGAGAACCTGCAGGCGTGGGCTGGTATCAAATCGGAGTTAGATGGGGAAGCGACGACAGGCTTCCTGTCTAGGAAGGTTAAGACGCGAAAGGCGAAAACGGAGGTTCACGAGGTTAAGCTTAAGGGGAAAGTTTTTACCGGAGCAAGAGAAGTTCTGGTGGCTGCGACGGAGTTCTTTCAAGACTCCTTTGGCGGTGACGACATTTCAGACGGTGGGGTCGTGGAGTCTGAACCATTGGGCCGTACCATCAGTGAGGCAAGCAAGGAAGCCCTCTGCGCACCGTGGTCAGAGGAGGAGGTGCGGACGGCGGTGCGTGAGCTGGCCTCAGGGAAATCACCAAGGCAGGATGGCCTGCCTAAGGAGATGTTCTAACACAACTGGGACCTGCTGGGCCCGGTCTTGATGCAGTTCGCTACCGATTTCACCCGAACTCTAAAACTTCCCAGCAGCGTCTCGACTGCAGTCACGATCCTGCTGCACAAAAAGGGGAGCAAGGAGGACTTGGGGAATTACAGGCCAATAACACTGCTCAGCACAGTCTACAAAATCTTAGCAAAGGTTCTTGCGACGAGGCTGAAGAAAGTGTTACACGAAGTAATCTCGGAGGACCAGGTCGGCTTCTTACCGGGGCGGAAGCTGGCGGATGCAGTCACGGTTGTAGCAGATGCCATCGAAGCAGGCGTCAGCGGCAGGGAGGACTGGTATTTACTGATGATTGACTTCCGTAAGGCCTTCGACTCCATATCGCGGCCTTTTCTTTTCCGCACGCTGAGAAGAATGGGGATCCCGGAGGAATTTGTCTCCTGGGCGGAGGGACTGCACAGGGAGACAGGCACACGGGTTCACGTGAACGGCTGGACTGGTGATATGGTTGCGGTTAAAAAAGGGGTGCGGCAAGGGTGCCCTTTGGCCCCAAACCTCTTTCTCTGCGCGGTGGAGCCGCTGTGTCAGGAGTTGACGAAGTGCAAGCTGGGAATCGGTCGGAGAGGCATCGACAAACTGGCTTACCTGGGGTATGCAGACGACACGTCGCTGCTTCTGCGGGGTGTAGAGCAGGTGTCGGTAGCGGCAGGAATCCTGGACGAGTTCGGCAAGAAGTCGGGCTTACAAGTAAACCGAGACAAGATGGTGTTGTTTCCCTTGGGGAAGAACAGAGGAAAGCCGCCGCCGCCGGACCTGCAGTATAAGTGGGCTGATAAAGGGGAGCCGGAGCGTCTCTTAGGCGTATGGATAACACCGAACGGAGACCCGCTGCCGTCCTGGGAGAAAGCATTGGACAGGGCAAAGAAGGAGTTAGCAAAATGGGAAGTGCAGCATTTGACAACATCTGCGAGGGTCACGATTGTGAATGGTTACATCACACCGATTTTCTTGTTCCAGGCGTATATCTACCCGCCCCCGGAGGAGATTTGGACGAAAATCCAGAGGATCTGCCACAGATTTGTGTCAGGGGGGCAAGCAACGGACGAGAAAGTCTTTATACTTTGGAACTACGAGCTGATGTGCACGCCCAGGGAAGAGGGGGGACTGGGACTGATTTGCCCCAAAAAGAGGTTCGACAGCGTGGCGATCCAGAACATCGGGCGGATGATGCTGCAGGACAACCCGGTCAAGAAGTGGTTGACCGAATGCGCGGCCGCGATGCCTCAAGGCGAGGACACGATTTTCGCACACAAGTCCCTGATCAAGCACTGGAAGGATGGGAGCAGACGGTGGAAGGAGATGCTGCAGGTTTTCTGGGACTCACCTTTCTGCGTCTCCCCTGAGCCGACAAACCGTTGGGAAGCGAAACGGGAGCGCCTAGCGTTCAATCGGCGAATACCTTTCCGAGGAGCAAGCCCGTTCGGGAATCAGAAGGGCTCAGCTTGCCTCCTGGGGCTGACGATGGGAGACCTGGTGCAACGGCTAGGGAGCGGCGAGCGGATCCTTAAGACTGAGGAGGCACTGACGAGGGAGCTCGGAAATAAAGACGCGGCGAAGCTGGCGCTGAAGGCCTTCGCAGCAGCACCGGCTGAGTGGAGGAATTTAATTCTGGAAAAGCTGATGAGTGAGGAGGTGGTCGAGAAGGTGCCGCTGTTGCGCCGCCAGGGCAGGGCTCCTGCAAAGCATACGATGTGGAAGGTTAGCAGCACGGACGGAGACAAGGTGGTCGGAAAGCTATGCGTGGATAACGGTGATGGTACGGTCACGGCATGCGAAGGGGACAATCTGTCGCTCAGTTTCGGACTGCAGAGCGGGGAGCCGCTGGCGGTCCAGGGCTCCAACGTGCTGGGGCCGATGGGCGAGGCGAGGACGCGGCTACTTCAGTCAAAGCTCTGTGTGGAAGGGGAGCTGCTGCCGCTGAAAGGAATCAGGAGAACTCTAACTAGCTCGGCTGGCACTGTGAAGGAGCAGAGGAGGTGGGTTGGTGACGGGAGAATCATCGATTGGAAGAGGGTCATGAAGGAGAGAGATTCCCTCGCCACACCCGCCCGGGCAAGAGAAATCCTGCTACGACTTCACTGTAGAAATTTACAGGTCGGGGAGCGGCTCTTTTTCATGAGGAACAAGGTGGTTTGTCCACACTGTAAAGGGGAGGAGACACCGGAGCACTGCCTGATTGGCTGCCCGGCAATTCAGAAGGTAGTGAAGTTCTTGCGGGAGGGGCTGGCCGCTATGAACCCGCAGCACGGCTGGCAAGGGCTCGAGGATATGCTTTTCATGCAGAGGAGCACGCAGTCAGGTTTCCCGGAGAGTTCTTTCATCGCCACTACTCTTCACCAAGTATGGCTGGCAAGATGTGACGCGATCAACCGGGACATCAGGTTCCAGCCGAAGAAAGTGATGCGCCTGGCGGTGGTCAAATTTGTCGCGCATGCAAGGGTTTACTGCCTGGCCAAACAGGTGGATGCACAGTAGGGAGCAGCAGAGAGTGGGCATTTTTAGACGCTGACGAGGCGGTGGTGATGAAGCGGATTTGCAGCAAAGTGACGCCGCTGACATGGAAGGGCAGTTTCAGCGCTGTCTGGGACAATCCGAAGCTGACTCACCAACCACCGTAGATGTATCACAGGGAATCCGCGTTACCCGGTACCGTGGCACTTCCCTAAGAGTACAGTTACGACTGCCAATGCGTTGTACATTTTTCATAGTGTAACATCGCAAAAAAAAAAAAAAAAAACTGTGCTTTCGAAAGTGGTCATGTTGGCAGCTTCACGAAAACGGCGAGAATTGACGACATCTACAGTTAATATTTCGACAAACACGTTTGAGCCACATAGGTTGCCTTGTTGGTCAACATTGGCCCTCGTCAATCTTCGTCACTCTTTTTACGATGCTGAATGGCAGAAGTCAAAAAGTGGTTACTGTCGCAACAGCGCGACCGATGCCTGTTCATAGGGATCTTCCACGCCCTTAGGGCGTGGGCAGCGCGTTCATTTTCCCCACTTTTACAAAATTTTGACGCCCGTCGAATCTGGAGGTTACTGTAGCTTTTTTGTACCGCGCTTAGTTTGTGTCCCAGGTGGGACACGCTCGTCCAAATTTAGGCACAGAACCCGCCACGCTTTTGCCAAACCGCCCACCCAACAAGGTAACCCGCCACGCTTTTGCCAAAACGCTTTTGACCTGGTGGATCTGGCTACGGGGCGCGGTAGGAATCTATATTTGTGAACCCTTGGATTTGCGAGGGTCGTACGCGCTTGACGAAGTCGTGGTGCGGTTTCGCTGACGTTTTCACACGCTTTCTCAAATGATGCGCGGGTTGTTCGCGGACGTTGTGGGTACGTGTTTTGTTCGGTTGACGGCACGGAAAACAGCCACAGTTCATCCACTGTATACTCCGTCGTGTCCACGCATTACCCTAAATCGGGGTTACAAACCGCTGAATGAGGTAACTGTTTCGGGCTAAGCCAGGAAAATGAACGCGCTGCCCACGCCCTTATTCCACCCCTCCGCGCGGCAACACCACCATCCCTGGACCCCAGGGCATGTCCCAACGTCCTTCACCCCGTACCGTACCCAACCTCTCCGTATCATCGTTCAACTGCTTTTGAACACAAAGAAGCCCCGAGCCGCGTTCACGGGAACTCCGAGTGCGAGAAGGAATGGTGTCAGTCTAGCTGTGCTCGTATGAGTACTAGAGCATAGCTATACTAAGCTCAATATTCCAGAAAGCCGAGTATCACTGTGGAGCATGCTGTTTTTGTTCGTCTAAATCCCCAGCAGTTTGCTCGCTTAACGCGACGTCCTACGCTTGCCGCGACATGGGAGACGACGACGACTCGCCTCTCCATCCTTCCCTGAAGACCTCTCGTAAACAACGGCCATCCGGACAGACGACGTCGCTGCCGACGATTCCGTCGCACGAAAGCGACGCTGCGAAACCCGTCACGAGCGCGGCTTCGAACAGGAGCCGCGTCTCCGCCGTCCGATGGGACGATCTGGACCGTCTAAACAGCTCCGGTGACTCGACACGTCAGCACGAGGCGCCCACGTGGCTGACGCTGTCTGACGTCAGCGCGATCAGCTCAGCAGCAGAGAGCGAGCGGAGCGGCCGCGACGCCTGGGACGAAGCGCGCGCGCGCAGAGAATGGGGGGAAGAGGCGGGCTCGCGGCAAGGATGGACGAGCGGGCGGGACGACGGGGGAAACCGGGCGGAAGGGGAAAGGGAGAAGGAAGGGAGAAGTGCAAGGGAGGGGGAAAGGGAAAGGGATGGGGAAGGGGAGGGGGAAGGGACGGAAGAGGGGGATTGGGAGGAGCGCAACATGTACGAAGTGCCACACAAGCAACGGTTCCGAGGCGACCATGACCTCTCGCCGCTACAGCAGGTGAGCGCCTGTCGCCGTTACAGCATGCCCTCTCCCACTGCACGCCCACTCCCACTGCACCGTCTGTGTCAGCGGGCACTAAACGCCCCTGGGGCGTTTGGTCGCCCCATCTACCCGGCCTTCACCTTTGCCTTCTTGCCTTCTCCCCTTCGCCTTCTCCCCTTCGCCTTCCCCTTTGCCTTCTCCCCTTCCCCTTTTCCCCTTTGCCTTCTCGCCTTCTCCCCTTCGCCTCCTCGCCTTCGCCTCCTCACCTTTGCTTTCACCTTCACCTTCGTGAGCGTTAACCCTCGCCCTTCCCCATCCGCTCCCAGTCTCCTCTTCCCCCTCCTCCTCTCTCCTCCCCCCTCTCCTCCTTCCCCTCTCTCCTCCCCTTCCCCTCTCTCCCCCCTTCCCCCTCTCCTCCCCCTCCCTTTCTCTCCTCCCCCTCCCTTTCTCTCCTCCCCCTCCCTTTCTCTCCTCCCCCTCCCTTTCTCTCCTCCCCCTCCCTTTCTCTCCTCCCCCTCCCTCTCTCTCTTCCCTATCTCCCCACCCCCCTCCCCCACTCTTTCCCCCCCCTCCTCCGCAGTTCCTGCACTGGGTGTCCCACACGCTGCTGGGCCGCGCTGCAAGAGGCTCAACACATTCCGCCTTCGCCATTTCCCGCATGGCCTCCCAGACCGCCTCTAACCTGCCACCCTCTGACTCCCGAGCCAGCGCCGTAGGTTCGGCAGCAGCAGCGGGCAGGCCTACCTTTGCCCGGTCCGACACGTTTTTTCTGCGGGAGATGCGGACAACAGAGCTGCTGGGGAGGGCCGTGGTGGCACCTGATAACGGGTGAGTGATGAGGGGTGATGATGGGTGAGTGATGATGACGGGTGATGAGGGGTGATGATGGGTGAGTGAGGGGTGAAGATGGGTGAGTGAGGGGTGAAGATGGGTGAGTGAGGGGTGATGATGGTGAGGGAGGGGCGGCTGTTAATCCCTCCATTTGTTCGTGGTGTAATTGCAGAACAATTTGCCAGTTACTGCGAATGGCAGCACCTTATTTCCACCATCGCCGTCCACTCTTCCTTTTGAGCCCCCAAATCCCTCCCTTCCTGCCACATTCTTCACTCCCGCCGCCCCACAACCAGCTACCTGCTGTGGTGGCAGCAGCTCATCCTAGCCCCGCCCTCTACCCCGCCTTCGTCACGCCCCTCGAGGTCTTCCGATTCTAAGGTCTTTTTTATGCCTTATTCGGTTCTTCCTTCTTGTTCTCTCACCCCCCACCCGCAGATACCTGCTGTTGTGGCAGCAGCTCATCCTGGCCCTTTCCTTCTACTCCGCATTCATCACGCCTCTCGAGTTCTTCTAACTCTGAGGTGTTTCAATGCCACAATCCGCCGTTCCCTCTCGTTCTCTTCCCCCCCCCACCTTCCTCCCCCCTCTCTCCCCCCAAATCAGATACCTGCTGTTGTGGCAGCAGCTCATCCTGGCCCTTTCCTTCTACTCCGCATTCATCACGCCCCTCGACTTCTTCTAACTTTGAGGTGTTTCAATGCCTCAATCCGTTCTTCCCTCTCGTTCTTTCCCCCCCTTTGCCCCCCCCCCCACAACTCTCAGATACCTGCTGTTATGGCAGCAGCTCATCCTGGCGCTCTCCTTCTACTCCGCCTTCATCACGCCCCTCGAGTTCTCCTTCCTGCCCATCCTGCCGCCCGGCCTCGCCATAGCGGACGGCGTCGTCAGCATCTTCTTCCTCGCCGACCTCTTTCTCACTTTTTTTGTTGCTTTCAAAGACCAGAAGACTCAGAGATATGTTTGCGACCACTGGAGTATTGCTACCAGGTGAGGTGCGGTGCGGTTGAGTGCGGTTTTGAGTGTGGTGCGATGCGGTGTAGTGAGGTTATGTGGATTCATTATTCCTCGCCGACCTGCTGCTCACTTTCTCCATTGCCTTCAAGCACAGAAAGACCCAGAGCTACGTCTGCGACCACTAGAGAATTGCCACCAGGTGAGGCGCGGTTGAATGCGGTGAGGTGCGGTGAGGTGAGGTGTTGTGAATTGTTTCTTCCTCGCTGATTTGCTGCTCACTCACCTAAACGTTGCTTTCAAGGACAGGAAGACCCAGAGCTATGTCTGCGACTACGGGAGCATCGCCACCAGGTTCGGTGCGGTTGAGTGTGGTGAGGTGCGGTGAGGTGATGTGAATTCTTTCTTCCTTACCGACCTGCTGCTCACCTTCTTCGTTGCTTTCAAGGACCAGACCAGAAGACCCAGAGATGCAGTGGGGTGCGGTGAGACAAGGTGCGATGAAGTCAGATGGATGAACAATTTGGACATCACTCCTTTGTGTGCCGCCTCTCCTTTGTGTGCCGCCTCTCCTTTGTGTGCCGCCTCTCCTTTGTGTGCCGCCTCTCCCCCCTCCCTACCCCCTTCGCTCCCTCTGTTATTTATGCTGGTTCTCCTTGTTTGTCTTGCCTTCTTTGCTTCATACCCTTCCCTCCCCTTCCTCCCCCCTCCCCCCTCTCCCCCCCTCTCCCCCGCCCCCCCTCCACCTCGTCCGTCGCAGGTACCTGTGCACGTTCTTCATTGTGGACCTGCTCGCACTCTTCCCCTGGGACACCTTCTTCCAGGTACAGCGGGACACCTTCTTCCAGGTACAGCGGGACACCTTCTTCCAGGTACAGCGGGACACCTTCTTCCAGGTACAGCGGGACACCTTCTTCCAGGTACAGCGGGACACCTTCTTCCAGGTACAGCGGGACACCTTCTTCCAGGTACAGCGGGACACCTTCTTCCAGGTACAGCGGGACACCTTCTTCCAGGTACAGCGGGACACCTTCTTCCAGGTACAGCGGGACACCTTCTTCCAGGTACAGCGGGACACCTTCTTCCAGGTACAGCGGGACACCTTCTTCCAGGTACAGCGGGACACCTTCTTCCAGGTACAGCGGGACACCTTCTTCCAGGTACAGCGGGACACCTTCTTCCAGGTACAGCGGGAAGCATTTGTTGCCACGTGGGATCACCTTGTTCCAGGTACCAGCATTCACCTTATATGTTTTTCGCTATTGTATATGCTTAATAGCACAGCATCAGGGGTGAAGCACAACAATAGCGAGTGTGCTGAGTGGGTTACAGGTTGAGGTAACCCTTCCACTTGCAGTGAAAGTCCAGGCAGCACAAGCTACACGTGTATGCCTCCTTGAAGAATCTTCGTCTGGCTGGTTTCTCCTTTGTTTCTCCTCGTATGTTTCACCGTTCTTCCACTTGCCGGGTTTGCCAGCTGGCAGGGGGGGAGGCGGGTGACAACCTGCTGAGGTGGTTCCTGTGGACCCGCGTTGTGCGGACACGGCACATCATGAACTACTTTCACAGGTGTGTGTGTGTGCTGTGTGTGGCAGTGTGGCTCGTATGTGTGCCTGCTCACATCACACAGTTTGCTCTTGCAACCTGCGTGGTTCCTGCGTGCTCTGCTCTGCGCAGCATTGTTTGCATGCTGCTCATTTACTTGCGTGCTACCTTCCCCGCCCATACACTTCTCCTGTGTACAGCCCTTGTTTTGCATCTTCCCACCAGCATGGCTCCTTCCTTCGTCAGTCCGCCACCCACCCAGAGTGTGCTGCAGAGTCCAGACCATTTGTCTGCATTGGGTGTGTCCTGGGGTGCACCTCATACTGCAACTCTCCACACCACACCTGTCTCCTCCCATCGGGCATCTCTTAGCCTCCACAGAACGTCTCTTCACACCACCCGTGTGCGTCCCCACTAAGCAGCTTGCAGCGCGGCAGGTCCCCACCCGTGTATGCGAGCTACTTCTCGGTGCACCCACAGCCGTGAGTTACCCGTGAGTTACTTGGCAGTGCATAGCCAAGTGAAGCCCATGTTGTTGGAGCTGTTTCCCACCCACAGTGCACTCTGCTGCATCTCCCACCACCACGCACGCAGGCTACAGAGGGACATCCATGTGAGCTACTTCGCAGTGCGCGCAGCAAAGCTCATGTTCATCTCCCCTTTACATCACTGCGGACTGTCCTCTGTTCCTTACCTATTTGCAACTCTCCCCCCATGGCACAGGCTGCAGCGCGACATCCATGTGAGCTACTTCGCAGTGCGTGTGGCGAAGCTCATATTCATCGAGCTCTACATCACCCACGTGGCCGGCTGCTTCTTCTACTTCCTCGCCACCACCTACCCTCCCGACCAGGTGGGTCAGTCACAGCCACCACCTACCCTCCCGACCAGGTGGGTCAGTCACAGCCACCACCTACCCTCCCGACCAGGTGGGTGGGATTTCATGTTACCATCCACCCGACCAGGTGGGTGGGATTTCATGTTACCATCCACGCGACCAGGTGGGAGTTACTAGCTACGCCCCGGACTGGGTGGGAATCAAATGTAGGTGCGTCAGTTTTACTACCTACCGAAGTGGGTGGGGTGGGAGGTATATGTAGTGCTAACCGGCTCCAACACACCACTGGGCCACATGCGAGCTTCCATTTCCCCTTTGGACCCGGCCTGAGCCATGTGTAGCATACGTGGTTTGCCCGGGCTTTGTTTGGTTCACATGTGATGTGATGCACTCTTTTCGCCTCACATTATGCTACGGTGGCGCTCCAGTCCGAGGCGTGCATTGCAAGTGTCAAGGTCAATTCTGAGTGTCTTGCACTTTGTTTCTATATTGCTCTACCACGTTTCGTCAAACAGCCTTTGAGCGTAACTTGATTGGCACAATCGAACTCTGTCATCCCATTTCACGCACTTTCTTGTGCCTACCAATCCCCGGCCCTTACACTTGGATGCCCATGCAGGAGGGCAGCACGTGGATAGGCAGTCTGACGCTGGGTGACCTGACTTACACCAACTTCCGGGAAATTGACCTGTACACGCGCTACTTCACATCACTCTACTGGTCCGTCATCACCATGGCCACCATCGGTGAGTTCTCTCCCTCCCATTGAGAATGCACATTCACCATTCTCCGTTGGTGATGTAGGGCCACCATCGGTGAGTGCAGCTTTAGTTGAGTGCAGCTTTAGTTGAGTGCAGCTTTAGTTGAGTGCTCATACGCCCGTATGAAGACCTTGAGGGTCGGAAGAGGGCCATCGGCGATTGATTAACAAGGAGTACCCGAAGCGGTGCGAGTGCGTGGCTGATTACCTGTTGTAGGTTGGGTATGACGACGACAACGGGGGCATGATCGTATGGGTGCTGACCATGCTTAACAACAAGGAGTTCTTGCGCATGGCAAAGTTCCACTCGGGTCGATGTGCTTGTGAAGGAACTTTGCCATGCGTAAGAAATCCTTGCCGGTAAGCATGGTCAGCACCTCTACGATCACGCACCCGCTGCTGTCGTCATGCCCAGCCTGCATCAGGTAATCAACCACGCACTCGCACTGCTTCTGGTACTCCTCCTTGCTAATCAACCGCCGATGGCCCTCTTCCGACCTGCCAGCCACTCCTTCCCCCCTGAACATTCAACTTCACAGATTTCTGTGACGGTGGTGAGACCATAGAGGACAACAGTGTCCTCCCCAGCTGTCCTCGCTCGATTAGCTTCGGTTGGTCTCCCCATCTGTTTCTTGCTGCATGTCGCCCCATCCGCCTTCCGCCTGTCTTCCAAACAATGGCGATGTGTACGCATTTCTTGAACCAAAACAATTGCTCCTCCCACTCATTTGCTCCCTTCTGCTGCCTCTGCTCCATACCACCCTCCCAGGGTATGGTGACGTGCATCCAGTGAACGCGCGTGAGATGGTGTTCGCCATGGCCTACATCTCCTTCGACCTCGTGCTCTCCGCCTACCTCGTCGGTGAGCCATGCCATGCCATGTCATGCCAGGCCATGAAATGCCAGGCTAGGCCATGCCAGGCTAGGCCATGCCATGTCATACCATGCCATGCCACTCCAAGCCCTGCAATGCCATGCCACTCCATGCCATACCGTGCTATTGCATGCCATGTCATGCCACTCCATGCCATGCTGTGGTGTATCATTCCATGCATAGTATGCTGAGCAATTCCGTGTCATGCCACTCCATTCTATGCCACGCCGTTCCATGTTGTGCCATACCATTTCATGCCATGCCATTCCCCATACTATGCCATGACATACCATTCCATGCCTCGCCATGCCATGCCCCTTGCACACCTCCTTGGCGCAGCACATCCCCTTGTGCCCCATGCAGGCAACATCACGGTCATGGTGGTGAAGGAGTGTTTATGCTGCCGCCATTGCGCCTCACACCCCATTGCACCCCGTTGCACCCCGTTGCACCTCGTTGTGCCCCGGGCAGGCAATTGTGGTGAAGGGGTGTATATGCTGCCTCCATTGTCCCTTACCCTGCGCCTCATACCCCATTGCACCCTGTTGCACCGCATGCAGGCAACATCACAGCGTTGGTGGTGAAGGGGTCCAACACAACGCGGTACCGTGAGAAGATGTCGGCGCTGATCAAGTACATGAACCGCAACCACCTGCCACACTCCCTCAGACAGCAGATGAGGCAGGTGAGACGGTTGGGAGAGTGAGAAGAAGAATCCACTCGCACTTGCTCATCAGTTATCATGAGCACATGAGGCAGTGCCACACCAGGCCAGTGGCAGTTCGAGACAGAGCAGGTGGGGGATGAGGTGGTGGAGGAGGTAGACATGATCACGAGTCGAGTCGAGTCGAGTCACCTCGAGTCGCGGTCGAGTCGGGAGTTGCGTCGATTCGAGTTGAGTCGAGCCATAGTCGAGTCAGTTTTTTTAAACTGCCGAATCGTGCTCGACTTCTGAAGTCGAGTCAGGCCTTGACTCGAGCACGAGTCATCAACTCGCAAGTCAGTCTTGACTCGACTTAACCTTCAGGAGTTTTCAAGGGCCCCAAAAGTCGTGTCCTGATTCGTAGCCGGAATGGCGAAATCCCGTCCCTTCCCCATTCCGCACAGGTAAATTGATGCGCACCCAAAATTGAGTGACGGGGGGGAATTGGGTTACGGGGGGATTTGCGTGTTGAACGGAAATTGAGTGATTGTCGGAGATTCGGGAAATTGCATGAGGAAAGGAGGGGGGATTGACAACGGGAATCCACGTGAATAAAATTGGTGGCCCTCGAGTCAGCCAGCTCGAATCGAGTCAGCCGATTCGCCTACTCGTGGCTCACCAGACTGTCCAAAATCGAGTCGGGCGATGCATCGAGATTTTTCCTCAATTCGACTCGACTCGACTCTACTCGAGTCAGGAAAATAATCTAACTGACTCGACTCAACGTAAAGTCGAGTCGAGCCAGCGAGTCGAGCTAAAACTCGCCTCGATTGATCATGTCTAGGAGGAGGTTGAGGGCCTTGCTATGACCACCTCCTGTGTCCCAATATGCCCCCATTTATTTGGTATCTCCCACCCACCCATCACCCCACCCACTCACCCATGCATGCACCACACCAGCACGTGCGGCTGCAATTTGAGACGGAACAAGTGGAGGACGAGGTGATGGAGGAGTTTCCTCTCAGCATCCGCCATAAGGTGGCGCGCGCCCTCTACCAGCGCGCTGTGGAGGCCTGCTACCTCTTCGATGGCTGCTCGGGGGAGTGCATCAGCCAGATAGTGAGTGCATCAACCAGATCGTGAGTGCATCAACCAGATCGTGAGTGCATCAACCAGATCGTGAGTGCATCAACCAGATCGTGAGTGCATCAACCAGATCGTGAGTGCATCAACCAGATCGTGAGTGCATCAACCAGATCGTGAGTGCATCAACCAGATCGTGAGTGCATCAACCAGATCGTGAGTGCATCAGCCATATCGTGAGTGCATCAGCCAGATCGTGAGTGCATCAGCCAGATCGTGAGTGCATCAGCCAGATCGTGAGTGCATCAACCAGATCGTGAGTGCATCAACCAGATCGTGAGTGCATCAACCAGATCGTGAGTGCATCAACCAGATCGTGAGTGCATCAACCAGATCGTGAGTGCATCAACCAGATCGTGAGTGCATCAACCAGATCGTGAGTGCATCAACCAGATCGTGAGTGCATCAACCAGATCGTGAGTGCATCAACCAGATCGTGAGTGCATCAACCAGATCGTGAGTGCATCAACCAGATCGTGAGTGCATCAACCAGATCGTGAGTGCATCAACCAGATCGTGAGTGCATCAACCAGATCGTGAGTGCATCAACCAGATCGTGAGTGCATCAACCAGATCGTGAGTGCATCAACCAGATCGTGAGTGCATCAACCAGATCGTGAGTGCATCAACCAGATCGTGAGTGCATCAACCAGATCGTGAGTGCATCAACCAGATCGTGAGTGCATCAACCAGATCGTGAGTGCATCAACCAGATCGTGAGTGCATCAACCAGATCGTGAGTGCATCAACCAGATCGTGAGTGCATCAACCAGATCGTGAGTGCATCAACCAGATCGTGAGTGCATCAACCAGATCGTGAGTGCATCAACCAGATCGTGAGTGCATCAACCAGATCGTGAGTGCATCAACCAGATCGTGAGTGCATCAACCAGATCGTGAGTGCATCAACCAGATCGTGAGTGCATCAACCAGATCGTGAGTGCATCAACCAGATCGTGAGTGCATCAACCAGATCGTGAGTGCATCAACCAGATCGTGAGTGCATCAACCAGATCGTGAGTGCATCAACCAGATCGTGAGTGCATCAACCAGATCGTGAGTGCATCAACCAGATCGTGAGTGCATCAACCAGATCGTGAGTGCATCAACCAGATCGTGAGTGCATCAACCAGATCGTGAGTGCATCAACCAGATCGTGAGTGCATCAACCAGATCGTGAGTGCATCAACCAGATCGTGAGTGCATCAACCAGATCGTGAGTGCATCAACCAGATCGTGAGTGCATCAACCAGATCGTGAGTGCATCAACCAGATCGTGAGTGCATCAACCAGATCGTGAGTGCATCAACCAGATCGTGAGTGCATCAACCAGATCGTGAGTGCATCAACCAGATCGTGAGTGCATCAACCAGATCGTGAGTGCATCAACCAGATCGTGAGTGCATCAACCAGATCGTGAGTGCATCAACCAGATCGTGAGTGCATCAACCAGATCGTGAGTGCATCAACCAGATCGTGAGTGCATCAACCAGATCGTGAGTGCATCAACCAGATCGTGAGTGCATCAACCAGATCGTGAGTGCATCAACCAGATCGTGAGTGCATCAACCAGATCGTGAGTGCATCAACCAGATCGTGAGTGCATCAACCAGATCGTGAGTGCTGCTGTGTGGGATGTCAGCGCTCTAAGACATCCACATGTGCTCATTCAGAAGAACATCCTTGTCCCCCCTGTCTCACGTTCCCCCAATATGTGCGGTGGGATGTGGTGCGGTGCTGTGCGGTGCGTGCAGGTGGCACGTGCAGTGCCCGAGTACTACTACCCGTTGGAGGTGCTGATTCAGAAGAACGACGCCGCGGAGCACATGTTCATCGTCTGCTCCGGCACCGTCCAGGAAGCTTCCTGCGTGCACGGCGAGGGGACGGACGACGAGCACCGGGCAACCCTCGCAGCCGTCAATGTGGGTCGTGGGGGATGTGGTGGCTCGCGGCTGAAAGCTGAGAGCTGGGGACCTGGGGCTGCTGGGATGGGGAGTGGCAGCTGAGCGCTGCGGACATGGGCCAGGAAGATAGGGCTTGTTGAAGAGTTTCGTGGGGAGGGGTGCACTTGAGGGCGTGTACAGATTCAGACGCTTGGTGGTTAGTGCATTCAGCAAGGTGACATGGTTTGGTGGGCAATGTCTGGGTGGGGCATGGTCTGGGTGGGGCATGTCATTCGGCCTGCGAGAGTAGCAGGGCTCCCCTCCCTCTCCCTTCCCAGCCTTGCGTGCGTCCCTTCCTCTTCCCCCCCTTGTGTTTCTCGTGGTCACCCCCCTTCCTCCCATCTGTTGTATCCTCGCACTCCTCTTTTGTCTCCATGTCCACATGCGCATGTATTCATTCATCCCCCTTCCCCCCCCCCCCCTGCCTTTTCCTACCCACCGTGCGGACAGATGTGTGGGGAGGTGGCGCTGCTGTGCAACATACTGCAGCCATTCACAGTGACGGCCAAGGAGCTCACCCAGGTGAACTATTCTCGTTGACTGTATCAGACGAGGAGCTCTGCCAGACGAGGAGCTCTGCCAGGTGAGGAGCTCTGCCAGGTGAGCCACTCTCATTACACGGGCCTGTGTCTATAACAGATGGAATGTGACTGTAACTGATGAACCGTGACTGTTAGGTAATTTGTAACTGCAGCAGACGAATTGTGGCTGAGCTTGTAACAATGACTTTAATTAGCTGAACCTTTTTGTGACTGTGATAGGTTGAATTGAACATGCCTGCTCGAAACCTGCTTTGACTAGGGCTGCCTTGTGCATGTGCACTTGTCCAATGCATGTGTGCTCATTCAATGCATGTGTGCTCATTCAATGCATGTGTGCTCATTCAATGCATGTGTGCTCATTCAATGCATGTGTGCTCATTCAATGCATGTGTGCTCATTCAATGCATGTGTGCTCATTCAATGCATGTGTGCTCATTCAATGCATGTGTGCTCATTCAATGCATGTGTGCTCATTCAATGCATGTGTGCTCATTCAATGCATGTGTGCTCATTCAATGCATGTGTGCTCATTCAATGCATGTGTGCTCATTCAATGCATGTGTGCTCATTCAATGCATGTGTGCTCATTCAATGCATGTGTGCTCATTCAATGCATGTGTGCTCATTCAATGCATGTGTGCTCATTCAATGCATGTGTGCTCATTCAATGCATGTGTGCTCATTCAATGCATGTGTGCTCATTCAATGCATGTGTGCTCATTCAATGCATGTGTGCTCATTCAATGCATGTGTGCTCATTCAATGCATGTGTGCTCATTCAATGCATGTGTGCTCATTCAATGCATGTGTGCTCATTCAATGCATGTGTGCTCATTCAATGCATGTGTGCTCATTCAATGCATGTGTGCTCATTCAATGCATGTGTGCTCATTCAATGCATGTGTGCTCATTCAATGCATGTGTGCTCATTCAATGCATGTGTGCTCATTCAATGCATGTGTGCTCATTCAATGCATGTGTGCTCATTCAATGCATGTGTGCTCATTCAATGCATGTGTGCTCATTCAATGCATGTGTGCTCATTCAATGCATGTGTGCTCATTCAATGCATGTGTGCTCATTCAATGCATGTGTGCATACTGCCTGCATCCATGTGTGCGTCCATGGGTGTGCATGCATGAATCCATGTATGCTCATGCATCCATGCATGTGTGTGCGTCCATGTGTGTGCATCCATCCATGTGTGTGCATCCATGTGAGTGCATCCATGTTTGTGCATCTAGGCTGGAGCACCAGCGAACCAAACAGGGTCTGTTTTTTGGCCAAAAGTGTTCACCGAACATGTTCGTGTTCGGGTCGGCGCCGCAACCTGAGCCGCGCCGAACACGAAATTGAGGGGTCCGACAAACACAAACGTGTTCATCGGGCATTTCGCCGTCAGATCTGCGCAAATATGGGATTTCGCCATCAGTTACGCTCGGATCTGGCATTTCGCCGTCACACGCACGTCGTGACACTAGCATGGATGAAGCAGGGCGGGACTGGCTTGGGGGGTGGGGGGAGAAAATGTGCCACGCTTTGAGTTTTGCTCTATTTGGACCTTTCAGCCACCTAAGAAATGTCAACTATCCACAATCCACAAATGTGTGACCATAAAGAATGATGTCAGGGGGCGAACACGTTCGTGTTCACCTCGAGGTGTTCGCCTCGAGCACCAAGGTGTTCGCCTGTGAAGGCGAATGGCGAACACCTTGATTTGCCAAAGGTGTTCGGCGAACGCCAACATGTTCGGTTCGCCCCTATGTGCATCCATGCATGTGTGCATCCATCCATGTGTGTGCATCCATCCATGTGTGTGCATCCATCCATGTGTGTGCATCCATCCATGTGTGTGCATCCATCCATGTGTGTGCATCCATCCATGTGTGTGCATCCATCCATGTGTGTGCATCCATCCATGTGTGTGCATCCATCCATGTGTGTGCATCCATCCATGTGTGTGCATCCATCCATGTGTGTGCATCCATCCATGTGTGTGCATCCATCCATGTGTGTGCATCCATCCATGTGTGTGCATCCATCCATGTGTGTGCATCCATCCATGTGTGTGCATCCATCCATGTGTGTGCATCCATCCATGTGTGTGCATCCATCCATGTGTGTGCATCCATCCATGTGTGTGCATCCATCCATGTGTGTGCATCCATCCATGTGTGTGCATCCATCCATGTGTGTGCATCCATCCATGTGTGTGCATCCATCCATGTGTGTGCATCCATCCATGTGTGTGCATCCATCCATGTGTGTGCATCCATCCATGTGTGTGCATCCATCCATGTGTGTGCATCCATCCATGTGTGTGCATCCATCCATGTGTGTGCATCCATCCATGTGTGTGCATCCATCCATGTGTGTGCATCCATCCATGCATGCCTGTGTGCATGCAGGTTCTGCGCATCGACCGCCAGTCCCTCTCTATAGTCACATCGCTCTTCATTGTGGATGGCCGTCGCATGGTGGACAACCTGCTGCAGGTGGGGGTAGAACAGTGCACACCCTTAATAGGTGAGGTTTGACAAGTGCACACCCTTATCAGGTGGGACTAAATCAGTGCATACTGTTATCAGATGGGGTGGGGCTAGATCAGCGTACACCCTTATCAGATGGGGCTAGATCGGTGCACACCTTTTCTAGGTGAGCCTATATAATTGCGCACCCTAATTATGTGAAACTAAATAGGACCACACCCTTACTATGAGTTCACTCCCGTTGCACCCTTCCCTCACATGACATGACCCACAGCGCTCGGAGGAGGCGGGCAGCAAGTTGGCGGGGCTGGCGGCGGAGATAGAGGCGCTGGCAGGCAACACCATGCACGCCACACCACGCCACGTGCATATGATATGAGCCCACGCCCATCCTGTTGCACCCTTCCCTCACATGACATGACATGACATGACATGACATGACATACATGCGCTGCGCAGCGATCGGAGGAGGCGGGCAGCAAGTTCGCAGGGCTGGCAGCAGAGATAGAGGCGCTGGTGGCGGCGCAGGAGGCGGATCTGACAGTGAGCACCATCTATGCCGCGTGGACGGGCGACATGGCCCAGCTGCAGCAGCTGCTGGCTGCCGGGGCCAAGGCAGACAGGGCTGACTACGACGGCCGCACGCCTCTGGTAGGGCTGCCTTGGGTTGTCAGATGGGATCTGGCTGGGCTAGGTTTGAGATGGGGTTAGGTTTGAGATGGGGCTAGGTTTGAGATGGGGCTAGGTTTGAGATGGCGCTAGGTTTGAGATGGGGCTAGGTTTGAGATGGGGCTAGGTTTGAGATGGGGCTAGGTTTGAGATGGGGCTAGGTTTGAGATGGGGCTAGGTTTGAGATGGGGCTAGGTTTGAGATGGGGTTAGGTTAGGCTGGGTTGCTGGCACTTGCATCACAGTGAGCACCATCTATGCCGCGTGGACGGGCGACATGCGTCAGCTGCAGCAACTGTTAGCAGCGGGGGGCAGGCAGACAGGGCTGACTACGATGGCCGCACCCCTCTGGTAGGACTGCCTTGGGTTGCATTTGGTTCCTTGCAGCTGCTTTCCATGCGTGCGTGCGTGTCTGTATGATATGACTGCTGCAGCTCTTCGCACGTGGGCTAAGGCGGACAGTACGACGGCCGCACGCCACTTGTACAACTGTGAAATGGGCCTAGGTTAGGTTAGGTTAGGTTGCTCTTTCCTTGGATAATCAGCAAGCGTGAAGTTGTGTATGAGATGAAAGAACCCTCCCTCCCTCCCTCCCTCCCTCCCTCCCTCCCTCCCTCCCTCCCTCGTGCCCTCCGCTCCTGCCCTGCTCCCGCACAGCACCTGGCAGCAGCGGGGGGTCACAACGACCTGGTGCGGCTGCTGCTGCTGGAGGGTGCGCAGGTGAACGCGGTGGACAACTTTGGCACCACGCCGCTGCTGGAGGCACTCAGGGCCGGCCATGATGAGACGGCTGCCATCCTCGCCAGTAAAGGCGGTACTGTTGGGCTGCAGGTGTGTGCTCGGTTACATCTTCACATCACCTCCTGTCTCGGTTCTGATCGTGTTGTGCTGCAACCCTGGTGCCATACTGCTGCTGGATACGCCATGGTGAGGGTGGGTTGTGGTGAGGGTGGGTCGTGGTGAGGGTGGGTCGTGGTGAGGGTGGGTCGTGGTGAGGGTGGTTTGCGTGTGTGTGGCTCCTCTGTGTTGGTGCTCATGCTGAGCAAGGGCAGCCCCACGCTGCTGCCTACTCCTGCACCTGCTGTCCCACACAGCATGTTGAGGTGCCTTGGAAGGACCGTCTGTCCACCCATCCGCCCACGCGTCTCTCTTGCTCTAGCCTCTCTTTCTGCTCTCTCTTACTCTAGCCTCTCTTCTGCTCTCTCTTACTCTAGCCTCTCTTCTGCTCTCTCTTACTCTAGCCTCTCTTCTGCTCTCTCTTACTCTAGCCTCTCTTCTGCTCTCTCTTACTCTAGCCTCTCTTCTGCTCTCTCTTACTCTAGCCTCTCTTCTGCTCTCTCTTACTCTAGCCTCTCTTCTGCTCTCTCTTACTCTAGCCTCTCTTCTGCTCTCTCTTACTCTAGCCTCTCTTCTGCTCTCTCTTACTCTAGCCTCTCTTCTGCTCTCTCTTACTCTAGCCTCTCTTCTGCTCTCTCTTACTCTAGCCTCTCTTCTGCTCTCTCTTACTCTAGCCTCTCTTCTGCTCTCTCTTACTCTAGCCTCTCTTCTGCTCTCTCTTACTCTAGCCTCTCTTCTGCTCTCTCTTACTCTAGCCTCTCTTCTGCTCTCTCTTACTCTAGCCTCTCTTCTGCTCTCTCTTACTCTAGCCTCTCTTCTGCTCTCTCTTACTCTAGCCTCTCTTCTGCTCTCTCTTACTCTAGCCTCTCTTCTGCTCTCTCTTACTCTAGCCTCTCTTCTGCTCTCTCTTACTCTAGCCTCTCTTCTGCTCTCTCTTACTCTAGCCTCTCTTCTGCTCTCTCTTACTCTAGCCTCTCTTCTGCTCTCTCTTACTCTAGCCTCTCTTCTGCTCTCTCTTACTCTAGCCTCTCTTCTGCTCTCTCTTACTCTAGCCTCTCTTCTGCTCTCTCTTACTCTAGCCTCTCTTCTGCTCTCTCTTACTCTAGCCTCTCTTCTGCTCTCTCTTACTCTAGCCTCTCTTCTGCTCTCTCTTACTCTAGCCTCTCTTCTGCTCTCTCTTACTCTAGCCTCTCTTCTGCTCTCTCTTACTCTAGCCTCTCTTCTGCTCTCTCTTACTCTAGCCTCTCTTCTGCTCTCTCTTACTCTAGCCTCTCTTCTGCTCTCTCTTACTCTAGCCTCTCTTCTGCTCTCTCTTACTCTAGCCTCTCTTCTGCTCTCTCTTACTCTAGCCTCTCTTCTGCTCTCTCTTACTCTAGCCTCTCTTCTGCTCTCTCTTACTCTAGCCTCTCTTCTGCTCTCTCTTACTCTAGCCTCTCTTCTGCTCTCTCTTACTCTAGCCTCTCTTCTGCTCTCTCTTACTCTAGCCTCTCTTCTGCTCTCTCTTACTCTAGCCTCTCTTCTGCTCTCTCTTACTCTAGCCTCTCTTCTGCTCTCTCTTACTCTAGCCTCTCTTCTGCTCTCTCTTACTCTAGCCTCTCTTCTGCTCTCTCTTACTCTAGCCTCTCTTCTGCTCTCTCTTACTCTAGCCTCTCTTCTGCTCTCTCTTACTCTAGCCTCTCTTCTGCTCTCTCTTACTCTAGCCTCTCTTCTGCTCTCTCTTACTCTAGCCTCTCTTCTGCTCTCTCTTACTCTAGCCTCTCTTCTGCTCTCTCTTACTCTAGCCTCTCTTCTGCTCTCTCTTACTCTAGCCTCTCTTCTGCTCTCTCTTACTCTAGCCTCTCTTCTGCTCTCTCTTACTCTAGCCTCTCTTCTGCTCTCTCTTACTCTAGCCTCTCTTCTGCTCTCTCTTACTCTAGCCTCTCTTCTGCTCTCTCTTACTCTAGCCTCTCTTCTGCTCTCTCTTACTCTAGCCTCTCTTCTGCTCTCTCTTACTCTAGCCTCTCTTCTGCTCTCTCTTACTCTAGCCTCTCTTCTGCTCTCTCTTACTCTAGCCTCTCTTCTGCTCTCTCTTACTCTAGCCTCTCTTCTGCTCTCTCTTACTCTAGCCTCTCTTCTGCTCTCTCTTACTCTAGCCTCTCTTCTGCTCTCTCTTACTCTAGCCTCTCTTCTGCTCTCTCTTACTCTAGCCTCTCTTCTGCTCTCTCTTCTCTCTAGCCTCTCTTCTGCTCTCTCTTACTCTAGCCTCTCTTCTGCTCTCTCTTACTCTAGCCTCTCTTCTGCTCTCTCTTACTCTAGCCTCTCTTCTGCTCTCTCTTACTCTAGCCTCTCTTCTGCTCTCTCTTACTCTAGCCTCTCTTCTGCTCTCTCTTACTCTAGCCTCTCTTCTGCTCTCTCTTACTCTAGCCTCTCTTCTGCTCTCTCTTACTCTAGCCTCTCTTCTGCTCTCTCTTACTCTAGCCTCTCTTCTGCTCTCTCTTACTCTAGCCTCTCTTCTGCTCTCTCTTACTCTAGCCTCTCTTCTGCTCTCTCTTACTCTAGCCTCTCTTCTGCTCTCTCTTACTCTAGCCTCTCTTCTGCTCTCTCTTACTCTAGCCTCTCTTCTGCTCTCTCTTACTCTAGCCTCTCTTCTGCTCTCTCTTACTCTAGCCTCTCTTCTGCTCTCTCTTACTCTAGCCTCTCTTCTGCTCTCTCTTACTCTAGCCTCTCTTCTGCTCTCTCTTACTCTAGCCTCTCTTCTGCTCTCTCTTACTCTAGCCTCTCTTCTGCTCTCTCTTACTCTAGCCTCTCTTCTGCTCTCTCTTACTCTAGCCTCTCTTCTGCTCTCTCTTACTCTAGCCTCTCTTCTGCTCTCTCTTACTCTAGCCTCTCTTCTGCTCTCTCTTACTCTAGCCTCTCTTCTGCTCTCTCTTACTCTAGCCTCTCTTCTGCTCTCTCTTACTCTAGCCTCTCTTCTGCTCTCTCTTACTCTAGCCTCTCTTCTGCTCTCTCTTACTCTAGCCTCTCTTCTGCTCTCTCTTACTCTAGCCTCTCTTCTGCTCTCTCTTACTCTAGCCTCTCTTCTGCTCTCTCTTACTCTAGCCTCTCTTCTGCTCTCTCTTACTCTAGCCTCTCTTCTGCTCTCTCTTACTCTAGCCTCTCTTCTGCTCTCTCTTACTCTAGCCTCTCTTCTGCTCTCTCTTACTCTAGCCTCTCTTCTGCTCTCTCTTACTCTAGCCTCTCTTCTGCTCTCTCTTACTCTAGCCTCTCTTCTGCTCTCTCTTACTCTAGCCTCTCTTCTGCTCTCTCTTACTCTAGCCTCTCTTCTGCTCTCTCTTACTCTAGCCTCTCTTCTGCTCTCTCTTACTCTAGCCTCTCTTCTGCTCTCTCTTACTCTAGCCTCTCTTCTGCTCTCTCTTACTCTAGCCTCTCTTCTGCTCTCTCTTACTCTAGCCTCTCTTCTGCTCTCTCTTACTCTAGCCTCTCTTCTGCTCTCTCTTACTCTAGCCTCTCTTCTGCTCTCTCTTACTCTAGCTAGCCTCTCATCTGCTCTCTCTTACTCTACCTCTCTTTCTGCTCTCTCTTACTCTAGCCTCTCTTCTGCTCTCTCTTACTCTAGCCTCTCTTCTGCTCTCTCTTACTCTAGCCTCTCTTCTGCTCTCTCTTACTCTAGCCTCTCTTCTGCTCTCTCTTACTCTAGCCTCTCTTCTGCTCTCTTCTGCTCTCTCTTACTCTAGCCTCTCTTCTGCTCTCTCTTACTCTAGCCTCTCTTCTGCTCTCTCTTACTCTAGCCTCTCTTCGGCCTCTCTTACTCTAGTAGCCTCTCTTCTCTGCTCTCTCTTACTCTAGCCTCTCTTCTGCTCTCTCTTACTCTAGCCTCTCTTCTGCTCTCTCTTACTCTAGCCTCTCTTCTGCTCTCTCTTACTCTAGCCTCTCTTCTGCTCTCTCTTACTCTAGCCTCTCTTCTGCTCTCTCTTACTCTAGCCTCTCTTCTGCTCTCTCTTACTCTAGCCTCTCTTCTGCTCTCTCTTACTCTAGCCTCTCTTCTGCTCTCTCTTACTCTAGCCTCTCTTCTGCTCTCTCTTACTCTAGCCTCTCTTCTGCTCTCTCTTACTCTAGCCTCTCTCTTCTCTCTCTCTCTCTTACTCTAGCCTCTCTTCTGCTCTCTCTTACTCTAGCCTCTCTTCTGCTCTCTCTTACTCTAGCCTCTCTTCTGCTCTCTCTTACTCTAGCCTCTCTTCTGCTCTCTCTTACTCTAGCCTCTCTTCTTTCTCTCTCTCTCTTACTCTAGCCTCTCTTCTGCTCTCTCTTACTCTAGCCTCTCTTCTGCTCTCTCTTACTCTAGCCTCTCTTCTGCTCTCTCTTACTCTAGCCTCTCTTCTGCTCTCTCTTACTCTAGCCTCTCTTCTGCTCTCTCTTACTCTAGCCTCTCTTCTGCTCTCTCTTACTCTAGCCTCTCTTCTGCTCTCTCTTACTCTAGCCTCTCTTCTGCTCTCTCTTACTCTAGCCTCTCTTCTGCTCTCTCTTACTCTAGCCTCTCTTCTGCTCTCTCTTACTCTAGCCTCTCTTCTGCTCTCTCTTACTCTAGCCTCTCTTCTGCTCTCTCTCTTAGCTAGCCCTCTCTTCTGCTTCTCTCTCTCTTACTCTAGCCTCTCTTCTGCTCTCTCTTACTCTAGCCTCTCTTCTGCTCTCTCTTACTCTAGCCTCTCTTCTGCTCTCTCTTACTCTAGCCTCTCTTCTGCTCTCTCTTACTCTAGCCTCTCTTCTGCTCTCTCTTACTCTAGCCTCTCTTCTGCTCTCTCTTACTCTAGCCTCTCTTCTGCTCTCTCTTACTCTAGCCTCTCTTCTGCTCTCTCTTACTCTAGCCTCTCTTCTGCTCTCTCTTACTCTAGCCTCTCTTCTGCTCTCTCTTACTCTAGCCTCTCTTCTGCTCTCTCTTACTCTAGCCTCTCTTCTGCTCTCTCTTACTCTAGCCTCTCTTCTGCTCTCTCTTACTCTAGCCTCTCTTCTGCTCTCTCTTACTCTAGCCTCTCTTCTGCTCTCTCTTACTCTAGCCTCTCTTCTGCTCTCTCTTACTCTAGCCTCTCTTCTGCTCTCTCTTACTCTAGCCTCTCTTCTGCTCTCTCTTACTCTAGCCTCTCTTCTGCTCTCTCTTACTCTAGCCTCTCTTCTGCTCTCTCTTACTCTAGCCTCTCTTCTGCTCTCTCTTACTCTAGCCTCTCTTCTGCTCTCTCTTACTCTAGCCTCTCTTCTGCTCTCTCTTACTCTAGCCTCTCTTCTGCTCTCTCTTACTCTAGCCTCTCTTCTGCTCTCTCTTACTCTAGCCTCTCTTCTGCTCTCTCTTACTCTAGCCTCTCTTCTGCTCTCTCTTACTCTAGCCTCTCTTCTGCTCTCTCTTACTCTAGCCTCTCTTCTGCTCTCTCTTACTCTAGCCTCTCTTCTGCTCTCTCTTACTCGCTCTCTCTTACTAGCCTCTCTTCTGCTCTCTCTTACTCTAGCCTCTCTTCTGCTCTCTCTTACTCTAGCCTCTCTTCTGCTCTCTCTTACTCTAGCCTCTCTTCTGCTCTCTCTTACTCTAGCCTCTCTTCTGCTCTCTCTTACTCTAGCCTCTCTTCTGCTCTCTCTTACTCTAGCCTCTCTTCTGCTCTCTCTTACTCTAGCCTCTCTTCTGCTCTCTCTTACTCTAGCCTCTCTTCTGCTCTCTCTTACTCTAGCCTCTCTTCTGCTCTCTCTTACTCTAGCCTCTCTTCTGCTCTCTCTTACTCTAGCCTCTCTTCTGCTCTCTCTTACTCTAGCCTCTCTTCTGCTCTCTCTTACTCTAGCCTCTCTTCTGCTCTCTCTTACTCTAGCCTCTCTTCTGCTCTCTCTTACTCTAGCCTCTCTTCTGCTCTCTCTTACTCTAGCCTCTCTTCTGCTCTCTCTTACTCTAGCCTCTCTTCTGCTCTCTCTTACTCTAGCCTCTCTTCTGCTCTCTCTTACTCTAGCCTCTCTTCTGCTCTCTCTTACTCTAGCCTCTCTTCTGCTCTCTCTTACTCTAGCCTCTCTTCTGCTCTCTCTTACTCTAGCCTCTCTTCTGCTCTCTCTTACTCTAGCCTCTCTTCTGCTCTCTCTTACTCTAGCCTCTCTTCTGCTCTCTCTTACTCTAGCCTCTCTTCTGCTCTCTCTTACTCTAGCCTCTCTTCTGCTCTCTCTTACTCTAGCCTCTCTTCTGCTCTCTCTTACTCTAGCCTCTCTTCTGCTCTCTCTTACTCTAGCCTCTCTTCTGCTCTCTCTTACTCTAGCCTCTCTTCTGCTCTCTCTTACTCTAGCCTCTCTTCTGCTCTCTCTTACTCTAGCCTCTCTTCTGCTCTCTCTTACTCTAGCCTCTCTTCTGCTCTCTCTTACTCTAGCCTCTCTTCTGCTCTCTCTTACTCTAGCCTCTCTTCTGCTCTCTCTTACTCTAGCCTCTCTTCTGCTCTCTCTTACTCTAGCCTCTCTTCTGCTCTCTCTTACTCTAGCCTCTCTTCTGCTCTCTCTTACTCTAGCCTCTCTTCTGCTCTCTCTTACTCTAGCCTCTCTTCTGCTCTCTCTTACTCTAGCCTCTCTTCTGCTCTCTCTTACTCTAGCCTCTCTTCTGCTCTCTCTTACTCTAGCCTCTCTTCTGCTCTCTCTTACTCTAGCCTCTCTTCTGCTCTCTCTTACTCTAGCCTCTCTTCTGCTCTCTCTTACTCTAGCCTCTCTTCTGCTCTCTCTTACTCTAGCCTCTCTTCTGCTCTCTCTTACTCTAGCCTCTCTTCTGCTCTCTCTTACTCTAGCCTCTCTTCTGCTCTCTCTTACTCTAGCCTCTCTTCTGCTCTCTCTTACTCTAGCCTCTCTTCTGCTCTCTCTTACTCTAGCCTCTCTTCTGCTCTCTCTTACTCTAGCCTCTCTTCTGCTCTCTCTTACTCTAGCCTCTCTTCTGCTCTCTCTTACTCTAGCCTCTCTTCTGCTCTCTCTTACTCTAGCCTCTCTTCTGCTCTCTCTTACTCTAGCCTCTCTTCTGCTCTCTCTTACTCTAGCCTCTCTTCTGCTCTCTCTTACTCTAGCCTCTCTTCTGCTCTCTCTTACTCTAGCCTCTCTTCTGCTCTCTCTTACTCTAGCCTCTCTTCTGCTCTCTCTTACTCTAGCCTCTCTTCTGCTCTCTCTTACTCTAGCCTCTCTTCTGCTCTCTCTTACTCTAGCCTCTCTTCTGCTCTCTCTTACTCTAGCCTCTCTTCTGCTCTCTCTTACTCTAGCCTCTCTTCTGCTCTCTCTTACTCTAGCCTCTCTTCTGCTCTCTCTTACTCTAGCCTCTCTTCTGCTCTCTCTTACTCTAGCCTCTCTTCTGCTCTCTCTTACTCTAGCCTCTCTTCTGCTCTCTCTTACTCTAGCCTCTCTTCTGCTCTCTCTTACTCTAGCCTCTCTTCTGCTCTCTCTTACTCTAGCCTCTCTTCTGCTCTCTCTTACTCTAGCCTCTCTTCTGCTCTCTCTTACTCTAGCCTCTCTTCTGCTCTCTCTTACTCTAGCCTCTCTTCTGCTCTCTCTTACTCTAGCCTCTCTTCTGCTCTCTCTTACTCTAGCCTCTCTTCTGCTCTCTCTTACTCTAGCCTCTCTTCTGCTCTCTCTTACTCTAGCCTCTCTTCTGCTCTCTCTTACTCTAGCCTCTCTTCTGCTCTCTCTTACTCTAGCCTCTCTTCTGCTCTCTCTTACTCTAGCCTCTCTTCTGCTCTCTCTTACTCTAGCCTCTCTTCTGCTCTCTCTTACTCTAGCCTCTCTTCTGCTCTCTCTTACTCTAGCCTCTCTTCTGCTCTCTCTTACTCTAGCCTCTCTTCTGCTCTCTCTTACTCTAGCCTCTCTTCTGCTCTCTCTTACTCTAGCCTCTCTTCTGCTCTCTCTTACTCTAGCCTCTCTTCTGCTCTCTCTTACTCTAGCCTCTCTTCTGCTCTCTCTTACTCTAGCCTCTCTTCTGCTCTCTCTTACTCTAGCCTCTCTTCTGCTCTCTCTTACTCTAGCCTCTCTTCTGCTCTCTCTTACTCTAGCCTCTCTTCTGCTCTCTCTTACTCTAGCCTCTCTTCTGCTCTCTCTTACTCTAGCCTCTCTTCTGCTCTCTCTTACTCTAGCCTCTCTTCTGCTCTCTCTTACTCTAGCCTCTCTTCTGCTCTCTCTTACTCTAGCCTCTCTTCTGCTCTCTCTTACTCTAGCCTCTCTTCTGCTCTCTCTTACTCTAGCCTCTCTTCTGCTCTCTCTTACTCTAGCCTCTCTTCTGCTCTCTCTTACTCTAGCCTCTCTTCTGCTCTCTCTTACTCTAGCCTCTCTTCTGCTCTCTCTTACTCTAGCCTCTCTTCTGCTCTCTCTTACTCTAGCCTCTCTTCTGCTCTCTCTTACTCTAGCCTCTCTTCTGCTCTCTCTTACTCTAGCCTCTCTTCTGCTCTCTCTTACTCTAGCCTCTCTTCTGCTCTCTCTTACTCTAGCCTCTCTTCTGCTCTCTCTTACTCTAGCCTCTCTTCTGCTCTCTCTTACTCTAGCCTCTCTTCTGCTCTCTCTTGCCTCTCTTTCTGCTCTCTCTCCCACACACCCACAGGAGGCAGGCACGGTGCTCTGTGCAGCGGTGGCAGCAGCGGACACGGAGTTGCTTCAGCGACTCCTCTCCCATGGGGTGCATCCCAACGCGAGTGACTACGACCAGCGCTCCCCGCTGCACATCGCTGCCATCAAGGGCCACCTGCACGTCGCCCGCCTACTCGTCGACCACCACGCTGATGTGGCGGCCCGCGATAGGTGCGTGAAGGCCCCGCATATTCTGTGAGGTTGGATGTTGCCATGTGCTATAGGTGCATGTGCAAGGCGGGGTGTCGGGCCAGCCTGCTGTCTCCATGCGTCCCCATCCCTTGCCATGCTGTACACTCTTCTCCTTGTCTCTCCAAGCATCCCTTTCATGCCAGTCATTCCCATTGTCCCCTTGCTGCCTCCCCTTTGTCCTGACTCAACCCCCTGGCAGGTGGGGAAGCACCCCGTTGGACGAGGCTCGCCGATGTGGCAGCCTGCCGTTGGTGCGATTTCTGGAGGAGGTGGGGGCGCGTCAGGCCAGTCGAACACACTCCGCCGCCCCTCCAACAGCCACTGCAGCTGCCGCAAGTGCTGCTGCCACCACTGCGGCTGCCGCAAGTGCTGCTGCCACCACTTCTGCTGCTGCGAGTGCTGCTGCCGCCGCTGCTGCCGCCGCTGCTGCTGCCGCCACTGCGGCCGCCACTGCTGCAGCTCCAGTCGCTCCCCCTCCTACCGGTGCCACCCTGTCCGCATCCGCCGGCCCCACAGTACCCCCATCCCCCTCTGCAGTGAGGCAGCTTCTCAGGGAGGTGGGTGCAGGAGAGGCGGCTAGAGGGTTGGAGGATGGGGGGGAGGAGGGTGGTGGGGTAGAGGGTGGGGGCAAGCAGCATACAGTGCAGGAGCAAGGAGAGGAGGGGGCGGAGAAGGAGCAAAGACGGGACGGGGAGAAGCATAAGGAGCGCGGAGAGGAGGGTGACAAGCACAGCACATGAGGGCCATGGCAGGAGCTGGTGGTGGGGGCGAGAGAGGGGGTGTTGTCGCAAGGATGGCGCACAGGCAGTGATTGGGACAGGTGCGGAGCTGTAATAGCATGTGGTGTGGTGATCCTGGAATTAAAGGCTGTCTATAGTAGTTTGTGGTACCCCGTCACTGATACCGTAGGTGTTTGTAAATAACATGATGTGTTCAACAGGCAACGCTACAGTATTGACTAACGGTGTACAAATCTGAGCAATAATTTTAATAATTAATGTCAAGACTCCTTGATCTCTTGACTTTTCTGCCCTCTCTTTTCTGAGCCTCCGTCCCCTCTCCCCACTCCCTCATGCACTGTGTTTTGCTATAGTTGGAGTGCCTCAGAAGAGAGGCAGGTGGTGGTGATGCTGAGGCTAGGGAAATGGCTTCAGGCAATTGTACTGAGTTTACTGGTGTACGGTAACTACAGGAAAGCTTTCATTATGCAAACAGCAATCTACATTAACTGAAAGAACATACAAGCAGCAAGTCCAATGAAAGTAGAGAAACCCAGCGGCAATATGTGAGAGAAGCAGCTGATCCAGCAACACACTGGATCATGTCAAACCCCAAAGCCAGCTGTACGGTTGCAAGAGAAATGCCTCATTACTGTACGTAGTACCGACCAATCGATGCGACAACATTCCCCTTCACTTCAACGCCATCAACTTTGACAGAAAAATAAAAGCTCGAGGGAGACGCGTACACCCCAGCGCTTACTAACGCTGAGATCGGGTCGATAGGCACATAAGCCGAGGTGAGCTGTGCGCCGCCATCCGCGTCGCAGCTCCAAGTGCCCGTTGCTGTGTCCGCCTTGGCCGTGCAGGGAATGGCCTTCACGAGGGCTCCCGTGCTGACCCTGTAGAAACCGGCAGCTGTGACAGTTGCTGACTTGCCGACAGGTATGCCCGCAACGCTGAGGGTGTAAGTAAACGATTGGTAGGTAGACGTGCTGCACGAGGAGCGGGCGACAAGGGGGTTTGAGGGAATGAGACAGGCTAGTAATTGTGAGAGTATTACGGGAAATGCTCGGTCCTTGTATGGGAGATCATGCAGCTAGTACTGATACAGCGTTCGTGGCTTCTTGTGAGGGGCTATTCAACACGAACATTGCGATTATGCGATTGATAAATCAACGCTATTTAACGGGGAAAGTTATCACTTACACGTCAGCACGCAGGGAGCACGAGCCAGTCAATGCACGATTGCTCGAAGCAAGCGTTGACGCCGACGCTACGTCTGCGCGACAATAGGAACGATAACCACAAATTGAGGTCGGTGGGCGGAAGAAGGAGGCCAGCGGAGGTGTACGGCAGCATGAGACACGGAACAGGGAGCACGGATTCGTGCAGAGAGCTGGATACGGTGCAGAGAGCTGGGTACGGTGCAGAGAGCATTGATACGGTGCAGAGAGCATTGATACGGTGCAGAGAGCATTGATACGGTGCAGAGAGCATTGATACGGTGCAGAGAGCATTGATACGGTGCAGAGAGCATTGATACGGTGCAGAGAGCATTGATACGGTGCAGAGAGCATTGATACGGTGCAGAGAGCATTGATACGGTGCAGAGAGCATTGATACGGTGCAGAGAGCATTGATACGGTGCAGAGAGCATTGATACGGTGCAGAGAGCATTGATACGGTGCAGAGAGCATTGATACGGTGCAGAGAGCATTGATACGGTGCAGAGAGCATTGATACGGTGCAGAGAGCATCGATCCGGTGCAGCAGGGAGCATTAGACTATCGAATGAGTGGATGTGCTTCCACCTTGGTGCGAGTGCGTTGGGGCAGGTTGACTTACAGCGTTTGACGGCAGTGGCGCCACTGGCTATGAGCTCACGGCGCCCGGCGATGGCGCTGCAGGAGAGCGAGAGCAGCACTACACACAGAGAACGACGCACGTGTAGAAAACAAAGTGAGGCGTCTGAATATCAGAACGGACGGGCAGACCGTCAGATTTTCTCGAGCAAACTCGCGGTTTTGACGGAATAACAGGGACCGGACGAGTATAGTGCACAATCACAGTTGCCAGGCAGTGCCTGCTCGATGAACAGCGGTGACGATCAGATACTCTCCACTGGGTTAAAAAAGGGAGGGTATCGCTTTTGAGTCGACTCAAAAGCTCTCCTCTCCTCAACGAACAGCAGTGAAAGTATCAAATACTCACCAGCGAGGACGATCGCAAAGTGAGCAAACGTGTGCGCCATGGCTGCTTGAGAGATGCGGGTGGTTGGGGAAGATGATGCGAATGATGGCGTTGGCTTGAACGAAGGAAACAAACAGGTCTATGAGCTGCTTATACGCCGGTGCTCGCAAACTGCTGTACGTCCGACAGTTGCTTAAGAAGTTGCATGATAAATACTTCCGACTGCTGCTTATACTCCGCTGAGCTCGAGCTAGCTGCTCGGTACGCTTAGAACAGCGTTGTTGCTACTACTCCGCGCCTTTCGGCGTGGCACGCGCTGCTGTTCAGGTGGTACGAGGAAAGTGGAAAGAAGAAAATGGAAGGAGAAAAGGAGGAAGTAGAAGCGCCAGGTGATTTGGGAATCAGAACTCGCATCCATGGGAGCTCTCAAAACACGACCTAGCAGTGACGGCGGCCTCTCAGGTGGCTACACTGTACCTGGGCTGGATCCCCTCCGCACGGTTTGGCTTCAGTGTTTCTATGCACGACAGTAGTGGAAATTTAGGTTTCCCAAGGAGGGGAAAAGGCAAGAAAAGCGCATGGTCAGGTCTGAACCTGAACGGCGAGAAAATTACGAGAGCATATTAAAGGGGGGGGGGGGGGGGGGAGGGTGGGTGAAAAATAGTGAAGTCAGGGGCGTCCACTAGGAAACCAAAGAAGACCCAAGGGAGGGTGTGAGCCGAGAGCTTGTCCGCAGAGGTATTGCGGGCATGCGCAAGACAGCCCCAAACATGAAACTCTGATGCAACACCAAGGGACCATGTCCGAAGACTGGTCGATAAGACCTCCGGGCGAAAGACACGCAGCCAGAGGTTCAGTTGGTGGGCGGCGTAGCGAACCGCGTAGGGCCACAGAAAAGGGGGTGCACGGGCATGGACCATGGAGGTGCGGCGATCTCTAGGACAATACCTATGCGCCACTCAGCAACCCCATTCTGCTTTGAGAACTCCGGAAGCATCCAAGACTGGGTGATGCCCTGCTCACGTCAGAACTCGGCAAACTCGCCGGAACAAAACTCAACCCCACGGTCGGAGTGGAGACAAAGTATATTGTTAGAATCTAGCAGCACGAATGAATGAACTATGCAGCATGCAGGAGTACAAGTAGTAAACCCTAATTGGGTTGTACCCCATGTGGGCTACCCCACTACAGCCTACACAATATAGTTTGACACACCCCCATAGGCAAAGTGGGGGAGAGCAAGGGGTCACAAGACCAGTCTAGAGAAGCAAAGCAAGCTCAGGGTGGATCACAACGTCACCACACACTCTGAGCACACGCAAAGGGCCGTAAGGCCAGTTCACATGCAGAAGTATATATGCAACAAGAACAGCACAGTGATCTCTACCTAGCAAGAGCAAGCATGCAGGTATATATATATAGATCACAGTACAAGCAGAGTCTACAGCAAGTGTGGAAACGTAGGCACAAGGCCTAACAGGGTACAAAAGCGCTGATGATCACCAGACGAAAGCGCCTTGGTGAATATATCAGCAGTGTTGGCCCGGGTGGCCACGTGAGCAAGGCGAAGCTGACCCCGCTGCTGCAACTCTCGAGCCAGGAAGTAACGCAGAGCGATGTGCTTCGTTATGTGCTCCAGTCTGTGCTCCTCGCACAAGGCAATGGCGGCCTTGTTGTCGACGTACAGCACTGGAGGAGAACGAGGCCGCTCTCCCAGGTCAGTCAGCAGGTAAGTGAGCCAACGTAACTCCTGTGCAGCCATGGCTGTGGCGTAGATCTCAGCCTCACAACTAGAGCTGAGAACAGAAGACGAGCGAGTAGAACGCCAAGAAACAGAACCGGAGCCAAGGCTGAAAGTGTAACCCTGTGACGACCGCTGTGTAGCCTGGTCGTCAACCCAAGAAGCGTCCGAGTGCCCAGTGAGAACCACGTCTCTCCGCCCTCCAAGCACGAGCCCCATGCCCGATGTACTGCACAAGTAGCGCAGTACCCTCTTTGCAGCATCCCAGTGCACCTTTCGGTGTCGACCAGGAGCCACGTAGCGGGCCAAAAGGCCAAGAGGGTACGCAAGGTCAGGACGAGTGCAGGTCATCAGGTACATGAGGCAGCCCACTAACTCTGGGTAAGGACCACTCGGCTCTACGGACTCGTCCGAAGGTGGAGCTGAGAGCGAGTGACCTGTAGCCAGAGGAGTGGACTGTGGCGAGGACCAGGTGAAGCCGAAGCGCTGAAGGACCTGCTGCACCATGTGTGAATGAGTCAGGGTGATGGTGCGGCGTGCTCTGTTCCGGGTGATCTGCAAGCCAAGGTAGCTGCGCAGCTCACCCAAGTCTGTGCACGTGTGTCACTTCTGCAGCTCCGACTTCACCAGGGCGAGAGCCTCGGTGTCAGCAGTGGCAAAGACCAAGTCGTCGACGTACACTAGGATGTAGAATGGCGGCAGCGAAGTGTCGGTGCGCAAAAACAGCGACGGGTCAGCAGTCGAAGGAGCAAACCCAAGAGCCGCAAATGTAGTCCTCAGTGTGTCGTGCCACTCATGAGGCGCCTGGCGGAGACCGTAGACTGGCCGCTGGAGGCTCCACTGGGTACCAGGCGGGAACGACCCAGTGAAGCCAGGTGGGCGGCGCAGCCAGATCTCCTCGTGCAGGCAGCCCTGCAAGAAAGCTGTGCTGAAGTCCAGTGAGTGAAGCTCGTAGTCACGCTGAGCGGCAATGTGCAGCAGCACCCGAAGTGTGGTCATCTTCGGGGTGGGGGAGAAGGTCTGGAAGAAGTCGACTCCCTCTCGCTGACTGAAGCCTCGAGCAACGTAACGAGCCTTGAAGACAGGCGGAGAACCTGGCGGCCGCTTCACCCTGAAAATCCACATGCCATCAACGATGTTCGCCCCTGGAGGGGGAACCTCATCGACATAAGTGCCTGTGGACTTCCAGGATGCCATCTCTGCGTCCATGGCTGCCTGCCACTGAGAGGAGTAGGGGCCCGCGATCGCCTCAGCGTAAGAGCGCGGGGTCGGGATGTCTATAGCATCCGGGTCTCCCTCAGGGGCAAGCAGCATGGCCACGAGATGAGGCGCAGCGGCCGCAAGACACTCAAGGTCCTCCTGTCTGTCCTCAAGGACGTCCGTGCCAAGAGCACACTCACCCGCGACGGACGGAGGACAGACAGACTCAGACACAGCAACAAGACTGGCAGCGTAGTCTAGACGACAGGCAGCAGCAAAGTCGACAAGCTCAGCGACCAAGGCAGACGCAGCAGCAGACTCAAACGACGGGTCAGTGACAACAGTGGCTAACAGACGCGTGACTGTAGGGTGCTCAGTACAAAACCGGTCAGACGCAGGGTCCGCAACGTCAGGCAGAGAGGACGCAGGAGGAGACGGCAAAGGAACAGACTGCGGAGTAGAGAAAGGACGACGGATGACGAGGTGCGCGCCTAGGACAGCCGGCGATCGCGGACGAGCAACACGACGACTGGTACGACCAGAACGAACAGGCGAGACAGGATGCGACGCAGGCTCACGACGCTCAGCAAGACCTCCTGCCTGCTCAGTGTAAGGGGAAGGAGCAAACAGCGGTGAGCCAGGCTGTAACGAAAGACCAGTAGAAGACGGGAGGCTGAGAACCTGACGAAGTACAGTGTCAGGCGGTGGCTGAGACGACGGAGACGGTGGAGCGAAGAACAGTCGCGGGGGTGCAGTGCCACCAGCACCAGCAGCTCCAGTACCTCCAGCAGCTCCAGAACTCCCAGCGCCAGCACCTCCAGGACCAGCTCCACCAGCAGCAGCACCCCCAGACCCAGGGTCTCCAGCCTCAGTGTCTCCAACAGTAGCACCCGCAGGCTCAGCACCTCCAGCCCCAGCAGCTCCAGTACCTCCAGTACGAGCACCTCCGGGACCAGCAACTCCAGCACCTCCAGTAGACAAAGGACCAGTACCACTCCCAGCTCCAGCAACGTCAGCAGCAGCACCTCCAGCGGCAGAACTCCGAGCTCCAGAAGCGCGACCCTGACGGCGACCGTACCAGTCGTGGAGCTGCTGTGACGTGAGAGGCACACGCGGACGAAGGCGGCTACTCCAAGGAGACCGTGCAACAGCAGACTCAGAACCCTCAGCGCCAGCACCCGCAGCAGCTCCAGAACCTCCAGCGCTAGCACCCGTAGCAGCTCCAGAACCTCCAGCGCCAGCACCCTCAGCAGCTCCAGAACCTCCAGCTCCAGCGCCAAAAGCGCCAGCACCTCCAGCAGCTCCAGAACCTCCAGCGCCAGCACCCCCAGCAGCTCTAGAACCTCCAGCTCCAGCCCCACCAGTGCCAGCACCTCCAGCAGCTCCAGAAACTCTAGCAGAAACAACTCCAGTAGCAGAGTCACAAGCTCCAGCGCCTCCAGCAGCAGGGCCCCTAGCTCCAGCAGCGCGACCCTGACAGCCAGCGTACCACTCACACAGATGCTGTGGGGAGAGAGGGAGTAGACGACGAGAGTGCAGCGGCGAGGCACCAGCGGAGCAACTACAGAGACAGCCGCTCCAGGGAGACTGCTCACCAGACGCCTCAGCGCCCCCAGGTGCAGCACCCCTAGACTCAGTACCCCCAAGCTCAGCACCCCCAGACTCCTCACACTCAGGCTCAGCACCTCCAGGCTTTGCACCCTCAGGCTCCGCACCCCCAGGCTCAGCACCCTCAGGCGCAAGGAGACACGGGGCCAAATGTTGAGGTGATGCGCGGCGTACCTGACCGCAAACGGCCACAGAAAATGGGGGGCAGCCGCATGGATCATGGAGGTACGAGCGACCTCCATGACTAAGCCAATGCGGCGCTCAGCAACCCCATTCTGCTGCGGAGAGGCCGGAAGCGTGAACATCTGGCGGATGCCGTGCTCCGCACAGAAGGGTGCTAAGAGGTCTGAGGAGAACTCACCACCTCTGTCAGAGTGCAGACGCAGGACGGGAAACTCCGTCCCGAACCGCTCGCGGAGCTGGAGACGGGCAGCGCGGATCCAAGGGATCAAAACATCAGGGACCTCCCCCTTGCGCTGCAAGGGGAAGACCATGTGTAACACGTGTAGTCG